TTCGATCAACTATAGAAATATACTTAAGTATAAAAGTTTTTAAGTAAAAGGTTTCGAGCGTGCCGTGTCGAACGTGCGCGCTTGCAAAAGTTTCGCATCGGAAAATTAATTACTTTATATATATTTTTATTATTAATTAATTATTTTATTACCTGACTGGGGAAAAATTGATTTTCAAGCAGGAATTAATAATTATTTAATTAGAATGTTTGTTTAGTGTTAATGGAAAAAGTGAAAGGTTTAAAATGAAAGAAATTCGCACATATTTTTAATTATTGGTTTTGGTTTTCGAAAATATTATTTCAAGTTATAATTTGAGTTGATTTTGGATTATAATTAATTATTTTCATCATTTTCATACTTTTGAGGGGTATAATTAGATTATTCAAGCGTATTCACATGCAAATTTTATTTCTACTTTCAAAATTTGCATGCTTTGCAATTTTTTTGCTATATTTTAAAGTTTTAACTTAAACAATCTTTAGTATTGTATTTATATGTTACACCAACGCTTACACTATGCCCATATTGAATAAAACATCATCAATATTTTTTCTTCAATGAAATTTTTAACCTATCGATTGTTTCTTTAGTTGCGCCTTGCTTCATTCGTAATATTGTACTCGTAAGTTGTGAGCAGTTTGCGCCTCTCGAGTTCACCGATTCTCACGCTGCTCGTGCTGTATTGTCATTAATGCATGCATGGCAATCACGTTGTTTATAGATTTGTGTCAGTAGGTATCGCATCTCGGGCGTTAATCGTAGGATGCATACGTATTATTGATAGCGAGTATAATAGACAGGAACAATTCGGAAAAGGAAAAAATCACAAACGCATAAATAATGAGATAACGCTGCATTGGATGGGAGTGTAGGTATAGTGTGGTCATTAAAAAAACCGCAATGTTTTATTGGCATTCAAGCTGAAACGAAGAAGAAACATTGATGAGAAGAAGAAGTAATTAGCAATTTCAAACGTACTAGTAATATAGTAGTTAAAGTAGTAAAAAGTATCTAGGTAATCAATAAATATTTTATAGATGAAGTTTTTGCTAATTAAAAGTTGTATCGTTTAAATTAGTTGCAAACTAATTAATAAATTTTAATGATTTCCTAAGTTAAATATTAAATTGCGATTTTAGTTACATAACTAGCGACCCGCCCCGGCTTCGCACGGTTGCAATACTGATACTAAATACACTACAGAAAAACTGGGAACGTTGTATATAAAAACATAGTGGCCCGCTACGGCTTCGCACGGGTTTAAAATATATAGCCTATGTGATTAAAATCGATCCAGTAGTTTTGATTTATTCATTACTGCCCGTGGCCCGCACGCGTTAAATTTGGAGTAAAACTATCCACCTTTCCCTATACCATGAAGATTTCCTGCTGTCTTTGGAATATCTTCGCTGCTAAATTCAAAGTGCTACAGGGAAAACCGCGGCCTCAGACGCGCTATTTATAGGCACGCTCTTGCCGCACCGGGCGGCCGGCCTGTACGGCCGCAAACGCTACGTCCGCAATTTTAAAAAAATCCGTTGCGCAGTTTCAAAGATTTAAGCATACAAAGGGACAGACAGAGAAAGCGACTTTCCTTCTCCAAACAAAAACATCTACCGGTCAACTTCAACCCACACGTACACACATACACACGTCTATGCTTGGAGGGGGAAACTACGAAGCATCGCACAAAGAGCAGACGGGAATAATCGAAAACTTTGTATTTACGATATCACATTAGAAACCTCAAAAATAACAGTACTCCTCCACTATTTAATGGATGTTATTATACATACAAACCTTCCTCTTGAATTACTCTATCTATTAAAAAAAACCGCATCAAAATCCGTTGCGTAGTTTCAAAGATTTAAGCTCACAAAGGGACCGGAAAAAAAAGCGACTTTACTTTATACTATGTAGTGATATATTGTAGTGATGCTAAATATTTATTATCAGTTTTGGACAATTTCACTTAAATTTTCTCTTTTTTGCATTTTAAGTTTTAAGTCTTTATAACTTTTGTTATAATAATCACAGATTAATGAATTTTTTGGAGACTGATGTAAAATTTACAAAATTACTCAAATAATTAATTAGTCACGGTAATATAAATAATACAAAATTTATTTTTTCACTTTTTCACATTTTTTGATTGTAATTTAATATAATTTCATAGTTTACATCTAATTTCAGAAATAAATCGACACATTTATCTAATCTGACATTTCAAGGTTAGTTCTTGCACAGACACGCACGATTAAAATATAAAACACAGTCCCTAGTTTCCGGCAAATTCACTTCCTCAGTTACGCAGTACCTCAGTAAATGACTTAGTATTAGCGTGCAGGCCTGTAACACGAAACTCTCAAGGTGAAATGAATGCTGGAAGTTGGTGTGCATTGACCTGATGATCCGATGATCTGTTGAACGATAAACACGCACAAAAAACGAGATGAAACTCGCCACATCTTTGAATAAAGGGACAAAAAACCTCAAGGTTAGAGGATGTTAGAATTTCAACCGGAAAAAGTCAATAGAATACGTATATTTTTCTTAAACTGCTTTGTTGAGGTTAATGCTGGGTTATGTAAGTATTATCAATGAAATTGTAGCGAATTTCATGATCTACTGATTGAAAAGGTGAATGTAAATTAGGTGTTTGCCTACTTAGCATTTTGTTATTTAAATTTTTTAATTATTTTATCAACGGTTATTGTATTGATGCATTGATGCAGTGGAATATCTGGACGATGAATTCTCCAACCGGTAAATATACGCTAATAACACACATCGCGTTCCCTGATTTCCGTTGCATCTCACAATTTCGTGCTATCACATTCATATCACGTCGATTGTTGAGATTGTTGAATACCTACATTACGTGCAACATGCAACATCTAACATGGAAGACGTACGTGCATTGTGTGTTCTAATTCAATGGAACTATTTCGTAGAAAAAACAACGGCACTCATTACTTAAACGGACAGTTATTTACTTCAAGAACACATTTTTATTTTTAATTCGCATAGGTTATTTCTAAACATATGAATTTCCCATGACAATTTGCAAAGTGATAAAATCTAAGTGCACTTTTCAAGCAATTTTATCAATTTCTTCGGCGGTTTTTTCCTCTTCACACTTTTCTCACCTTTCATCGAGTTCGAAGTATCATAAGTTTCAAAAGTCAATGAAGTGTGCGAAATCGTTTGCACTCAGTGGCGACGATGTACTTTCTTCGTCATCTTCAACGTCGTTTTACGAGCGTATCGTTAGGCGAGAAGATTGTCGAAGATCGCCGTGATTGCAATTACGGTCGACATTTCGCGATTTCGGCCGCGCCGAAAAAACGATTCGACATGATTGCGCACAAATCGAAAATTCCCTTTCGCAGTTTGTGTAGTTTCTCATCGTATCTCTAGCGTCAAGTGAAGAGCAGGAAGAGTGGTGCTGAAAGTTAAGTGAAGACATCAGACAATACTTTGAGATGCAATTGAAGTGAAGCGATCTTTAAACAGACTTAAGTTATTCTTTACTTTAGCTTCGAAATATACAATCATGAATTGTAAATTTATACTGAGTGTTTTATATTATATTAATGATTTTTTTATTGTTTCAGGTAAGTTTCAAAGGAATTCATAACATAAAATCATAAAATTTGACATTCCTGCAAATTTCAACGCATAAAAAGGTAAAATGTCATGTTATTTAATACAAATCGATCAAAAAGAAAGTTTTTCTCTGCTTTCGAGTGAATAATAAGGTTTTTTTTTGCTGACGGTGAATAAAGTACAGTATCCAATTTGTGCTTTATAATGATTATTACAATGTATAATTGGCGATTCAAAAAATAGATTTTAATATACGATTAGCCGAGTCATTACATCTCATCGCGTTGTTATATAATAAACTGAAACAAAACAACGCAAATCACAGCAAAATAATAATTTACCAGTAGGAAATACACAATGGTGCAATAATTTGTACTTAATGCAAAACGTCTCCGCAATTGTTTTTGTTGTTATATACATATTCGCAGTCGCACGCAATGAAACATAATTTATATTTACGTCCAACATTTTCCGTCTCGTCCAATTTATTCAATTTCGGCGCGTCTGATATTTTTTTGTTTTTGCAATATCCGATGATCGACCTACTATCGCCCCAACCAACACCAAATTTGCATAACATTCTTTCTTCGTCCATAGGTATATTTTGCGTCTTTAGAGAGTAGGTTACAATCATATAATCGATTATATCCATTCGGGCTTTTGTTTTTTTGCTAATCATTTTTATTTTATTGCTTTTCTGACCGACAATTATTACACGATCGTCAAATGGTCTACTCGTAGAGTGGAGTAACTGTAGTTGATTGCGTGCTCAAATTATTTGCATGATTGGAGAAGCATAAACGCAGAAGTGCTGAAATTGTAAGTTAACCTAAAAAATAAAAGAAAATCCATTCTTTTTCGCTTTCGCACGATTTTAATCATGAAAGTTTTCTAGCGCTTGTCATTTGTTTAATGTTGTGGAGTTTTCTCTTGTTTTGCTTGTTTTTATCGTCCGTCTTGCGGATAATTAGGTAAAGTTTTTCATTGTACTTGCATTGTTAAAACTGTGTGCCTAATGGACGAATTAACACGGATCAACATGTGAGGTTATGTATATGGAAATAGCGTGTCATAGTAAAGACCTTTTTATTGTTGACCACCCAACGGTAGGGGAGAGCAGGTAGGATTCGTACATTTTTTACTTGACGCCATATTAAAACTAAACTATATAATATATTCGAATAAGTTTAATGTCCCTATATAGCCTATATATCTGCCTATAATTATAGTATGGTACAGCTCCGTCACAAATCACACAGACAGAATTATGATCAGTTTTCCAAAATAAAATGTAATGAAAGTACCCCACACACGGGGTACCTTCGTGCATAGTGTGGGTACTTTCGTACATGATGGGGTACCTTCATACAGTCAAAGAAAATAAACAATTGTTGATTAAATTTAATCATTTATTGAGATCAATTTAACACAGAATCAGCATTTTTGTATTAAGAACCAAGATATATTATTTAGGTATTCATAGGTATCATATAATATGCATTTGCTTCATTATCAGTCTTTGTAGTTTTCTTTTGCTTCTTTAAATTAAATGACTCTTTCGATTGAGATTTCCTCTTTATTGAAGATGCGTTATCTGCATCTAAGACAAGATGTAGAGCTTTGATGGCCTTAGCTTTTTGTTTTTTCTCTTGCACTTGCTTCTTCAATAGTCTTCCTTTTTCTATTTCTGCCAGTCTATCTTTTTCCGGAGTATCAGTGTAAATTCTAGATTTGCCTGGTAGCTTTCCTTTCCTTGTTTTCTTTATTGAATCTCTGTCCACTCTAGGATATGGCCTGACTAACTCTGGGTGATCAGGAGCATTCGTACACGTACGAATCTACCCCACCCCTACCTGTACGAAGGTTCCCCAACACCAAAAAAAACAATTAATATCGAAAATAAAAATAACCGCTGAAACTGGGCCAAAATCTATATTTACATGCTAAACTAAGTTATTCCTTCACAAACTGTGTACATTCACTTTTACAATAGGAATAAAGCGTGAATAAACAAAGATGTTTAAAAACATAACCAAAAAATACTTACTTGGCGCGAAATCACGTTACGACTCGTTGCGTCGAAGCCGGCGGCTGCACTGACGTCTCACCCCGCGAGTAACCTATGCGTGCGAGTGGGTCTCACGCACACAAACACAGACCTGTCAAAGTATTCTACAGTGGTAGGAATAAGGACTGTACGAATGCTCCTACTGTACGAATCCTACCTGCTCTCCCCTACAAACTGCAAGCGAAGACAATAATGAATTAAAATTTTATTATCAATTCATGTGTCTGGGACACATATTGCAGTGACAAACTGTCAAACTGTATTTATGTGGAAATGCAGGCGAAATGTGAAGCGCATCTAATATTGTCATAAATTTATATTCTCCACGTTAACCGTGATAATTTATTAACGTTATATCCTATCCGAGTTAGTCTTTATTGTTCTTAAAATTTGCTACAGTTCTCATGTGGTTTAATGGGCTATAATTCAGTAGGTGTTTTCTGCTGTCATAGAATTTAGCACGGCATGTTGCCGATCTTTTTCAGTAGGTTGTAATACACCTGAATTCCTTGTAGGAATTTTTCCTTTTCGATGAATTCATTAGGGCCGTGCTTCTCGCATGTCACGCCATTGAGGCAGGAGAGACCAAATGCTGGTATACAGAGGTTTCTGACATATCGAGCGGCAGATGTTCCAGGATTTATTTTCGGTTGAAGTTCGAAGCACATTTCGTTGACAGTTTCCAATATAGGAGCGTAGAATCGGTTTTCTAAGGGAGTTGGTTTATCTAAAAGCTCGCAGACGTCTTCTTTCATGCAGCAACCTTCTCCTATTTGACAACACCATGATTTCAAAGTGCTTTTCCAGTTGTCCAGGCAGGTATCCGGGGGTAATCTTGCATCAACTGTTACAATGTATTTACATGGTAACATATTTTCTTCTGCTTCAGTCTAAAATGAAAAAATTGTTAGGTCATGTTTTTATATGAGATTAAAGGTTAGAACTAACCTCTATGTTGGTAACATTGAGAGTTATAACATTTTGACAGTTCGGATCACATCCAGACTTCTCAACTTCGCATTTTCGGAATTCGTAGATAATGGTTAGCAATTTCGCCAGTTTCTCAGCAGGTGGATTTGGCGTGTTCATCCACGGCTGCCCACCACAACCTTCAAGGCAAAATTTCACGACGCATTTGTGTTTCTCTCCGTTGTACAATATGTAACCTTTTTTGCATTCCGATGCTGCAGATTCGTCTAACCAAAATCCAATGTTGAGTTCTTTAAACTCACACATGTCTACAAAGCGCTTCATTCCTTCCTGAGCTGCCAGACTCTTCGTCAGGCACGAAGAGTATAATTATGGTTCGTTTTAATTTACAACCATCAGCTTTGAGTCTCCTGACAGCTTCTATATATTGAATGGCGTTTAATTTCATGTCTTGACTGCCACGACCATGAATTCGCCCACATTTGTCTATACACCCTCCGAAGGGTGGGTATTCCCAGTTTTCTTCATCTGCTGGTACCACGTCCATGTGACTGTTTAGGACTATCGATTGACTGCAGCAGACTGTCCCTGGCCATTTCATAATTACCACTGGTCGATTCTTGCAGACATTGACCACGCACACATCTAGAGGTACTTTTGATGCGAGGCATTTCAAAAACTCAACTGCCTTACAATAATCAGTTTCTCCCGTGATGGTTGGGATTTTTAGGTATGCCTGGAAGTTCTCCACAGCAATTTTGTCGAAATCTTGGGTATTATTATTACACATTTTGATACGACGTTTTTATTCACGGGAAATTTTGATTTTGGAAAGGAAAAAACAGGGAATGTTTGACAGTAAACTCTAATTACTACGGTAATAAATATTTTAGTTTGTTATTAATTATATTCTGGTACATAGCCAATATTTAGCAAAATTCGATAATACATAGTAATACCCAATAGAAATTCTTTTCTTCCAATGAATTCATCATGTTTGTGAAGTCTTGGTTCGCCTGTTAATGGGGTAAATCCGAAAACGGAGATACCTAAATTCCGTAAGTATCTGGCATCCGTCATTGCATAGCACACTTGAGGCAGGAGTTGATAACCCCTAAAAATTAATAAATTTAATAATATTTACCAACGTAAAATAATGATTTTACATTTTCTGAATTGTTTCTTGGAACGGTTCATAGTAAGGATTACTTTCATCTAAATAAGTAGGCTTATCTATAATTTCACAGACAACTTCTTCAATCCAACATCCTTCACCTGCATCCTCACACCAAGAATTCATGGTGGCTTTCCATTCATCAATATTGACCTTTGGAGGCAATCTGATGTCAGCGCTAACTACGAATTCTGATGGGATCACATTTTCTTGGGTTCCACCCTTAAATATTTAATTTTTTAATCTACCAAATTAGGTTTATGTGTTTTTGCATCTACCTGTATAATAGTAGCATTAATGGAAACAAAATCAGGGTTGTCCACCCTTCTCCCTGCCAACTCAAATTGCTCCTCACGAAAATCATAAATACTTTTTAACAATCTCGCTAATTTAGCTCCTGCTGTATTAGGTATGTTCAAACAACCATGACCTACATCCCCTGTCACATGGAACTTCACAGACCACTTGTGTTTCTCTCCATAAAAGAGCACAAAATGTCCCGGACGATTCGAAGCGACACCCTCATCCAAAGCGAAACCAATATTTAATTTCCTAAATGCTTTTGTTTTGACAAACATTTTCATCCCTTCTTGACCTCCCATTTCTTCATCAGGGACGAAGGTCAACACTAAAGTTCTAGCCAACACTGCTTCTTCTCGTTTCAAGCGCCTTACTGCTTCCAAATATTGAATACCAACGGATTTCATATCTTGCGTGCCGCGCCCGAAAATTCTACCGTGTTCGTCGATATGTGCAGAGAAGGGTGGGTGTGACCATTTGTCTGCTTCAGCCGGCACCACGTCCATATGACTATTAAGGCAGATCGCAGGAAGGTCAGGTTTCATCCCAGTCCATTTCATTATCACCACTGGTCGGTTAGGTTTCAACTGAATTACCTTACATTCCAAACCTATTGATTCTGCTTGTGCTTTGAGAAAAGTAACACATTCCTCTAAAAATTTCAATTTTAATAATTCTCAAAGTTGGTTATGTCTTATGTTTTACTTACCATAATTGGTAGTGTTCGATACACTTTCAATTTGTATATATTGACGTAGCGTCTCGACGGCTGATTCATCATATGACATCATGAAAACAATTATTCTGCGACGCACAACACGGAAAATCGATGGAAAGCTGGAACGCTTTCAGTGCGAAAATTTGCTGTGTGCAGCGTTCGAGGGTTAGTGCGTTACTGCTGAATTCTCGGGAAAACAAGGTTATATAATACAACATTCAACAGCGCTCGTGCGGATATAAAAATGTTCTGCTGTTTATTCTCACATATAATATGTTCAAAGAGAATTCTAAATACAAAAATATTTATTGATGCAATTAAAAACATAATCAATATTTCTTATTTAATAAAAAAATTATAAAAATTATTTGTTAAAACTGACATTTAGGAAATGGAACACGTGTAAAAATACACTATATATAATTTGTTCCAACTAACACTCTGTTGGTGTTATGTTAGTCTTGTGATTTATTTATACCAAAACTACGAGCGCCTGCAAAACGCGCGGTGATGACGTCAGAGTGATAAAAGAGGATTAACTTGTTTCATTTTCACCGCTTATCACTAATGTTTCGCTGGGTTTACATAACCATATGTTTATTTATTATACTTTGTTTCCTATTGCTTTGAATATCGCAATATAGAAAGTGATACCCGCTAAAAACTCGGCTTTATCAACATACTCATTATGCTGATGTATGAGCATTTCACAAGTTAACGGTGAAAATCCCAAAATAGGTATGTTTAAATTTCGGATGAACCTTGAATCCGAAACGGCCATTGATATAATAGGAACTGCTGTAATATCCCTTAAAATATAAAAAAAATACTTAAAATTAGTTTTGTTTGGTTAAGTTTATTGATAATTCCCAAGATTTGTTAATAATTTATAGTAAATGTTAATCCCCTCTAAAAGTTCATCCCTAGAAACATGCTCGTCATGCTGATGTGCAAGAACCTCGCTAGTTAGTGGCGAAAACCCAATGCTTGGAATGGTTATTTGACGTAAAAATCGAGCATCAGTAACACCAATCAAAATCGAAGTATAAGTTTCAAAACCCCTACAATCGTTGATTATAACACCCGTTATTAATGTTTTAATAATAATTTTACTTACATTTGCTTCAAAGTATCAACCAATACTTGATAAAATGGCGTCTTGTTGATATCAGTAGGTTTATCTATAATCTCACATACTAATTGCTCAGCCCATACACCATCACCTGCCTTACTACACCAATTCTGCACAATTTCATTCCAAGCCTCCAGATTAACATTGGGAGGTAGTCTGATATCAGTGGTCACTTGAAACTCTGATGGTATGACGTTATCCTGTTGACCTCCTTCTATCTTGGTTACATTTAAAGACGTCACATCAGTGTGATATGGAGCTTGGGACTTTTCCATTTCCTCTGTACGAAAATCATATAAACTTCGCAATAATCTAGCTAGTTTTTCTCCGGCAGTGTTTTCCATATTAAGACTACCATGACCAACGCTTCCTGTTACGTGAAACCTCAGAGACCATTTATGTTTCTCGCCATAGAATAAATACAGTAGTTTCGGGTTGGAACTACCGCAACCTTCATCCAGACCGAAAGCAATATTAAGAGATTTGAATTCGGGTGTTTGCACGAAGAGTTTCATGCCTTCCTGACCACCAATTTCTTCATCTGGTACAAAGGTTACTACTAAAGTACGAGCGAGTCTGATTCCATCTAGTTGCAAACGCCTAATGGCTTCTAGATATTGTATTCCTACAATTTTCATGTCTTGGGTACCCCTGCCGAAGATCCGCCCTTCTTCGTCAATGTGGGCATCAAAGGGTGGGTAGGTCCATTGCTCTTCTTCAACAGGCACTACATCCATGTGACTATTGAGGAAGATACAAGGCAAATCAGGTTGTAAACCAATCCATTTCATCATTACTACTGGTCGCTTGGGTTTTAGTTGGATTACTTCAAAAGATAAATTTAGGGATTGGGCTTGCCCACGGAGAAATTCCACACAGTCCACTGAAATTTTAATTTAAAAGTCTTTAATTTATTTTCATCAATTTATATTGCTTACCATAATCAGTAGTTTGTGATAATGTAGGAATCTGTATGTATTTTTGGAAATTTTTAACTGCCAACTCATCTAGAGACATTTTAAATGTTTATCGCAGCGGTTTTGAAACACTGAACTCGACAAGTACTGTCTGGCCATTAAGTTCACAATGACTGAGGAAAACATTTATATACTTGTAGACATAAGTAATCAATGAATTGTTTACGAATAATGATTGGTATTCGGGGTGATAACGAATTTTTTTATTTCATTGTTGTCTACATGCTTTTACTGTTTTAAATAATTGCATTAGATTAGAATATATGGCATTAATTTTAATACAATCTTGCGGTGTTAAATGTCAAAGGAAAGGGAAACTAAGTATTTTTTTTTATATTAAAAAATGGATAGTGCCCAAAAAATTGAAAATTTTAATTAAAGAAAAAGTTCAATTATTCTCTATTTGTAATTTATGTACCTGGGTGAAATTTTTAATTTTTAACATTTTTGTAGCGACTTTATTACTTTTTTTTATTTATTAACAATTTTATACCCAAACTAAATATTTAACTGCGCTTTTATGCAAATCTCGGGAAACGCGCGACTCGTCATGGCACTTAGCCGATCGACATCGACGCATTCTCTCATTCTCTCCTTCAATGCAAAAGCATACCTGCAGCAGGTATTCTATTAGTGAGTTATTCACTCAACAATTCCGCACGTCGGCGGCCACTATGAGTAGCTACTAGCTATGCCATACTCTAGTTGCTATCGAGGTTCGATTATATTACTATTACTTTAGTTGTGCGGCGTTAGTTTTATTCTGCCGCATTTCATATTAATTCATTGATCGCAGTAAACAGGTGCATGAACCCACCATGCACAAACGGCGCACACAGGAATGTTGCGAAAAATGTCGGAGGAGTGAAGAAGTGAACGTTGTGACGTGCGCCGAACAAAACGGTCAAAAAAAGCAAATAGTTTTTACTTTTACTCGAGACTTAAACTGCTGGCGTGGTTTAGGTGAGTAGCTATTTTAGGAACCCGCACTTTAATTCAAGGCTGGTGCAGTAATTAAACACCTTACAAGGATTTTCAGTTAGAATACAGTAAATTAGAAAATGGAGAAAATGAAAACCTGTTTTTTAGATAAAAGTAAGAATAGTGTATTCTTCACGTTGAGAGTAGATTTATCTGTTTGGAGCGATGTCATGTGTTTAAGAAGTGGTACCCACAATATTTTTAGCCCACCTGTTGTGTAAATAATTATTTTTTTCATAAAAATGAAGCAAAATTACAGATTTTTCGACTTAAAACTTGACTTAAACTAAAAGTACAATAATACCTTCGTAAACTCAGTAAGAAAGAGTTAAAGACACCCAGGAGCAAGACAAACATGTTCTGGCAGTGAACTCGAGACCATGATACTCTTCTTCTCATAGTTTCAACGCATCTTCAGATACAATCCAGAGAAGTACGTAGAGGAAATTGCAGCTTGTGTTGCAAACAAAATCGAGTATGTGCTCCTATTCTTAAGCTCGACGACTCTTTCCATTCTTTGGTGCGTTTGATGTGCACGTCGCTGGTGTTTCGACCACCTCTCTCGTCGCCGTCGCCGCGATAGTCAATCGCGACCATCGCGATCGGTGACCACGGCTCGCCGCAGTCAGTTGGTGCCTAGGTGTTGTCGACGTTAGAGGTGTGCGTGACGCGCATGCGCGTATGTGTGTGTGACTCCGGTGCAATGCACGCGTCCGCGCGTAACTTCGACAAGTGCGTTGGCCAATCGAACAGACAATAACAATTTGAGTAACCAAATATTTCCACAACTAATAATTCCATTGAAAAATGCTGTAACGAAACGCACAACGATGATATTTATTTAGTTCCTATCTGATGAAATTTATTTATTTTGACGAATTTTCGTTGTAAAGTAAAGTAAAACATCATGACATGATGATGCGTTTCTAAAGCTGAAACTTGGTGTTATACTTATGTAAGAGGTATCTGGGTAGAGAAGATGAGTGATTCACCGCAACCGATGAATTCGTTGGACTGTTGGGATTACACAATCGAGCTGGAATGTCTTCAAGGAACGGAAGGTACTATTATCTTTTTGTTCGCAGTTGAAAATTTAGTTTTCTGGATAAAAAGTTGTTAATCAACTCGCAAGTGCTGTAAAAATTGCTTATCGCATTTATTTTGAGTACATACAACGCACTTTGTTCGTTTGAACATATTGAAACATATTGAACCACTGATATTAAATACAAACAAATCGCACTATCAACTTAATTAATTTCAGTCAAACAGTATATTTGATCTAATATTTAGATATGATATAATTTTTGAAAAGTATTGATAAGCAATTCGCAACAATGAACATAATTATTTCTGCATTGTTATTAAATTAAAGAAGTGTTCATGCGTGGCCAGGTAAATCGCGCCGAGTCCGCACAATAATCGCGAAATTATTGCTACGACGTGCACGAATTTATCGCCGTATGAAAAATTTACCGACCGCACGAACGCGCAAATATTAAATATAAATTTTGTTTTTCAAGTTGTATATTAATGGTAAAATGGAATTATTTAATCTATAAATTATTTAGACCACAGGAATTTTAATATTTGGGTTCGTTATGGGTGTTTTCGTTAGCAAATAGTTCAAATTTCAGTGTAAAATTTCCACTTTTGTGTTAAAAAAAAAATGGTTCAAAAGTTAAAAATTACATTACTTTAAAAAATGCTTTAACGAATTGTTTCTTTTTGATTTATTTAAGTAATTATCATGTTTGACATTGAACTAAGCTTAAAATTTATTATATTTCTTAAATGTTCTCATTTCCTTATTTTAGTAACTTGATATACAATGTGTAACTTGGCTAAAACTTGAAACTACAACTTGTAATTATAGAAATGACAAAATACTGTAATTATCCATCGTCTATACTTACTTCTATACAATGTTAGATAGATACACAAATTGCACTACAATAAATAAAAATGACTGGCGGTTTATGAAACAGTGAAACATCACATCCTTCATAAACAAATCAAATACGATCCAAGTTTAACTAAACACATATTCATGTCCGACAAACCAGTTCTGATAATAATATAAACCATTGCGATTGAAATTGGCAAAAAAACGATAAAACTCGAAAACATCCTCATCCTAAATCGCTTTGTTCATCCGGCGTTAGCAAAAAAACCACACTAAAACTTAAAACAACTCAATTAAAGTAAATTGCATCATGTGTTTAAGCATGTACACATATATTAATTAAAATTAATTTATAAAAGATGCAAATAGCAGTATTGTTGAAAATAAAACGTTGAATTGTTTAAATTATTACCTGCACATTCGTCAAAATTGTACAGTGCTGAGTGACGCGGCACGTTTTGAAATAGAAAAATTATTCCATGATTTAAATAGTAATAGTGGTAATTATCATAAACAGCAAACTGCGGGCTGGCTCGAAAATGAAATCGAAGCGAGCGAAACGAAATCAAAATAAAAATCGAAACGTCGCCGTGTGCAAAGCGAAAATATAAGAATGCTTCAGGAGACGCGTTAATTATAGGCGCGTTAACCTCGAAAAATTATCATCGCGAGAAGAAGCAAAGCGAATTATTCATAGTTGATATTAATATTAATCACACAAACAAGTATAAAGTTTCTGTACATATTCACTTAAGGCATACTTGTTATGACTTAATTTGAACTTAAGACTGAACTTAAGTTGGCATGGAATAATTTAACCATGTGGAACTAATTTGCACTTTACATAAAATACTCAAAATATTCTGGTAAAAAACTGAAATTTTATTTTATTCTGAAATTACAGTTAAGTACAGTTTAGGTAAAAATATATTATTGCTATAGTGGAGTTATTTCCGTCACTTTCATTATCTTTATTGTTTATACCTATTTCAGGTTGTTTTTTAACAGTAACTTAAGTGCTATTTGCATACGTCATAAAGTTACTTGCTAAAAATACAAAACAAAACGCGAATACAAATTATAATGACTACGGACATAACAAGATTCAATTGGTGTAATGAAAGTAACACGGCAGTATATTTTTTGCTTACAATTAGTACTTACAATTACAAATTTGCTATAAATTAACAAATAAATTTTAACAAATAAATTTTAAAATATTGATATTTTTTTCAACTGCAGTGTTACTATTTATTTCTCACACGCTTTTCTTGATTTATAACCATGTTTTTGTTTACCTAACCTCAAAGTTTAACCTTTCACTACATAAGTAAGTACTGAAGATGATAAAAACATACCAAAGAACTAAATGAACTAGAAGCACTCGACTGTTTTAATTAATCCCAGCCGACGTGTAATTAGTAATTAACCTTAGCATTGAAAACATTGTTTTCAATTTCGTGCCGTAAGAAAAAATCCATAGCTGTGGGATTTCGCCTATTTTCCAACGAGATTAACATAAGTAAGGCGTCGTAGAACGTCGTCCAGATATGAGATAATCTTTTTGTTGAAAGTATACAATATAATAATCATTATAAGCACAAACACCAACAAACCACGAGAAACTAGAAACGCGCAACGGAGTAGTCGTACGAAGCAAGAAACAAGAAACATAACAATTAATAAATTAAAAAGATCACAATCTGTGATGATTATTTATGAGTATTATGACGATGAGCGGTGTGATTATGATAATCATACATAATTTTATTGTTTTATACTGAGTGTTTATTTTTTATTTATATATAAAGTCTTCGTTTGAAAATAAAAAAATTCTAGTTAATTAAATTTAAAAAATAAAAGATCTAGTCTAAAATAAATGGAATTGTTTGGTTTTTATAATTTTTAATTTAATTGTTTACGTCACTAGTTGAATTAAAAAGCGGTAGGATTATCATAACTTCAAACATAAAATTTTATTTTTTTTTAGTTTTTAATGATCTTAACTTGACTCTACATTAATTTATTTTTATTATTCGACGTTAGACAATGCAATATGTCGATGTCTGTGTACACTGCGGTCAGAATAACGAATTACGTAAAATCTACGTGCGTACACAGTGTTGCTGCAACACACCGCAATAATTTCATTTTACTATTGCTTATAACGCCCAAGCAAAATTATATATACTCATATAAAAAGTGGATTAAGTCTCTGTAAGACTATTTAAGGCAAGCGAGTGACTTAAATCTGAGTTCAACTTAGGATTGAGAATTAAAGTTTTATTTCTTACACATGTACGAATTTGTAGGCTTCTGCTTGAGTTCAAGTGAAATGCAAGCAGGAAGCAAATCAGCAGCTTTCTGGCTCTTGAAAGCGCACACGTACTCGTAGCTTAGTTAGTTAGTCGAGTTGGTTCACATTGAATTAACAGAAAACTAGGAACAGAGTGGAGAGTGTTAGATAAGACACAAGTAGCTTCATCATGCATCAAGCCACATGCATCGCCAAATTATTATCATTAATCATCAATCAGTCTGGAAACGAATTTGTGCATGTTACATGATTACAAAACAATGCAAAACATGCAAAAACAAAACCTGCAATTACACAGTATCAGCTTTATATTAATTGTTTGTAATAAGTATGAGAAAAACCTTGCTTTGCTTGAACTTTTGAACGTTTGTACGTTTCGATCATAAATTGTGTTATAACACGATGAAATGGGAAAGTGATTACTCAATTCAAGTTTTGTGTGATTCACTGTATTTTATTACACTTGGTTACCACTGTAAATTCATCAATTAATGCATTTTCATCGCATAATGTAAAGTTATACAAAAGTAATAAAAATTACAAAATAAAAAGTAATTGAAAAGTTAAATTAAATTCAAAACACGTTTAAGGTACTTTTAATGAGGTAATTAATCATTGCAGCTGTAAAGCTGCGAGTAATTAAATGTATTTGTGATTATGTTCGACTGCAGCGGAGAAAAAGAAACTCTCAATTTTTACATCGTTTTAGTTGTATTGTATTCTAACCTCAAATTTGGTCTTCAAAGGTGTAATTTATGCTGTGGAATAAAAACAGTGATTTCACACACACGCGGTCTACGCACAATTTGTTTTTGCCTCATTTCGCTGACAATATTCAAGTCTATAATTTTCCTCTATTAGACTCTCCGGGCGCCGGTCAGTTTTTTTTTTTTTTGGTTTGATTTTTTTGATCGGCGTGCGTATGTGCGTTAATTATTTTGCGACTTTCTTTGCGCGGTGGTCAGTCGGCGAACAATTTTCGAACACGCTCTACTTTATGCTTTGTAGACGCCTTTGGCGCGATGATTGCCTTCGATGTGTCTATGTCCTGTTGACTGTGATTTTTCTATTTGCCGCGTGCGGCACAAACTAGAACACTTGCGATTTTTATTCGCGGCGCGTTTTACGCTTTTTTAGATTTTCGAGCGTGCACCGGCCATCGCCGACTGGCGACTGCCAACTTTCCATCGACATTTCTAATTGTTAATGTACCGTACGAGTACGATCACCATCATTAATGCCTTCGTAGTGGTGAATTTTTATTGGTTTATTGTGCACCACATTCCAAACTATTCTGAGCTAGTGGTAACATTGTGTATGTTTGGTTGCAGACTTGCAGTTGGCTGCAGAACTTGGCAAAACTCTTCTCGAGCGCAATAAGGAACTAGAGATTACCGTCAAGCATCATATGAATATTATTGATGACCAGACACAGGAGATCGAATACCTTACCAAACAAACAGTGGCCCTACGAGAGGTAAATGATTCCCGGTTGAGGATCTATGAGCAGTTGGAAGTGAGCATCCAAGATCTAGAGCGAGCTAATCACAGGCTACTAATCGACTGCGGCAATGAAAAGAAAAATTCAAAATCAGTGACTGCTAGCCTGGAGGCTAGTGAGCAAAAATGCGAAGAACTGCAAGCCACTGTTGATAGACTAAGAAAGGAGCTTGATGCTGCTAATAGGGAATTACAAGCGCAGAAGGAGAGCAATGGAACTGCTGAGCAGGTGGTTGCTAAATACACGAGACTGAATAACGACGACGATGTGGACGAGGTGGACAGGCCAGAAAGTCCTCTGCAGACGCCTACCCCACATAGGAAATCTGTAAGTTTTCAAACCAAATCAAATCAATTCAGATTTTATTATCATTTATTTTTCATTTTAAAGGTATTGTGTGCGGGTAACATCAGAACGGACAAATCACAGGAGACTCAAACTCCTCCAAACAAGGATGACAAAAACTCTGAAGTGGCACAACTCCTGCAAAGGTTACAGGATGCGCATGCGCAGGCGATGCAAGAATCACGTAGAATTACCGAACTGGAAGACCAGTTGCAGTCGATGGTACAACAAAACCAAGAGTTGGAAAGCCAGATTATGGGTATTCAACAGAAGGGTTGTGAGATGAAGAGTATGCATGAGGAGTTCAGCTTGTTGGAGGAAGTCAGGTTAGAACATAACCAAATTTAAATTTGGGATTATAAGGTTTTAATGTATTTTTGTGGGTTTATAGACAAGGACAAGTATGCCGCAAATGTGGGATGGTGGATCCAGCCGACGACATGTCGCAGAGCTTGTGCGATGACCGCGAGGACGATGTGAGCATGATGGACGCAATGGCGGCGGACACGCAACACCGCACCTCGTTCTACATGGAAGTGCAGGTATTTATGCGTGCATTGTCTTCAAATTTGAATAGTTGGTTTGCATGTTTGGTGTTTGTGTCATGTTATTGTCATTTATCGTCGTCGGCTTCCTGATCGCTTGCTTTCATCCATTCCTGCTTCTCCCATAAATGCATCCAATTGCAACAGCATAATATAAATAACGGAAGATTAAATAAAATTCGAGATTTAAATTATTGAATAATATTACATGCCGACCATTTTAAACTATTCACCAAAATTTTAAAGTTATCTTTGACATAACTTACACATACACATATTTTGCTTTTGATATCATTTTGAGCTAATATTTTTATAAGTTAGTGATAAGTTAGTTTTGCATGGTTTTTTAAATAGTTTGGATGATTTTGATTTGATTAGGAGATAGCTCATCTCCGTCGCGAGCGTTGCGCAGCTAAAAATGGCCGCCGCCGTTCGCACCGGATGCATTGGATGATGCCCTCGACCATGTCGTTGTACACCCTTATTGTTGACCTTGTACTTTCCCTCAAAGACCAATACCTTGTTCCGTTCGTGTACAAATCCTTCACGTATCCGATGCTCTTGCTGCATCTGATAAGGCACGATAAAAAGTTGCATCGCTTGTGAGCATGCCGTCGCCGCCAGGTAGGTGAGATTTTTTGCTTGCTTTACTAACCGCTGTATATATGTAGTAATATGTTGTAGTTATGTATTCATTATTTTTAAAATGGGCACTAACTGATTTTTAACGTCTGAATGTTGGGTTTTCAGGAATATGCTAAAACATCAACGCCACCACGTGAACATGTGAACTTGTACAGAGATTTGGTAGAAAAGTACGAAGCTCTCAAAAAGGTTCAGAAGGATATTCGGCCTGGAAAGATGCATAACACTTCTAACATGACCTTACAAGAAGAATTAGCTATGTCGGGTGATTTTAAGGATACTGATGAGGAGAGTGGACATGGAGACAGCTTGCGCACTGAGCAACAGAAAAAGGTCAGGAAGACATTTTCGCAGACACCAACAGATTTCTCAGAGGCGGAAACGACCAGTTCTTCCGGTTACTCGGATGAGACCAGTAACAAAGGCACGCAAACCGAGAGGCGGCCAGGGTCATTTCTGTGCAAAATTGGCGATGGAGAAGATTGCATTAGCATCTACGACGATGCCGCAAATATTGACGGGCGATTTCGTCAACGACCTGAGTTCCGAGAGCTCTTTGGTGAAATCTTCAGCGTACTCAAGAAGGCGGCGAAGAATGCGGACGAGAACAAAGAGCTGCCGCTGTTGGACGACGAGTGCAAGGTTGCTCCGAAGGTACCTCCTGTCACTCCTTGCACTGAAGCTCTTCCCGACTTCCCCGACAATTGCACCGATGATACTCAGAGCGTACTTTCTTCAGCCATGTCTGAACTATCTACAAGCCAGGCTGAGCCGATTACTTTGATTGAGAACATCCATCTCTCTGAACCGGTTGTAAAACCACAGGAACCTGTATTACGTCCGCTCATCCGCCAGCCATTGGAATCCTTGACTGGAAACAACGTACGCAAGCGCTCGTCGTCTCGTAAGAAGAACAAGCAGTTCCAGGACAGGAGTGATTCGCCAGTGACTCATATTTTGGGCAGTCCGACCATCCGATATGTCAGTCGTCCTTCCTCTGGAAGACGTCGCCGTGGACGTGATGCTAACCAACCAAACAACGAAAACTCTGAGGGTGCGTGGAATGGCAGCACTGTCCAGTTCTTCTCACGCAATGCTCCATCTCCTACGCCGAGTCAAAGCAGTTTGGACTTCAAACCTAGCGTCGCCTCACAGGAACTTCATAAGTTGAAGAAACTTGAGAAGTCCTACGCAGATGTCCTGCGCGGTAATCAGGTTCCCAAGCAACGCCGCGACAACTACCGCGGACGACGGAAGTAAACGCAAGACAACCAAAAATGAAAAAAAAAAAATCAATGTGTATATTTTCCGTCTTTTTAATTCGTGTGTCACGCGTTTAACTATTCGTCCTAGTTTCGTGTAAATATTGTTTTTATGTTTTAATTATTGAAGTAGGTTGTATCGGACGTAAGTATCTTAATTTGCCATCCAAGTTTATATCAAGTAAGCTTAACTGAATCTAAAAAATCATGCGTTGTTGCCTTTGAAGATATCGGCGACGACTTTTTAAAATGATTTTATATCTAATGTTCTTCTTATGTTATAATAAGTCGTAATATTTACACAACTTCGTTTTGCAATCTTATTAATTAACTATTGTATGTTTGTGCGCGTGTATTTAATTATTTGATTACTATTTAGCGTTTTTACAAATGAGGTTGAAACGAAGATTTTAATCCGCAAAAAAAATTGAACAAAAAACTCAAAAATGCAAAAATAAGATATCATTAACGTGTAGTTCGAGCAAGAATTCGAAGAAGATTGTGCCAACAACTATTTTTTTAGACTTAAACAAGCAACTATTAGCCGCGGTAGCTTTCAGTACATTCAAGACTTACTTGGACTTTTACCCTCTACGAATTAATACAAGTACGTAATAATCAATTAGACTAGTAGTGAGTCAAATGTTGATTGATTATAGCACATCGATGATAACATAACAAACAAATGAAATAAACATGATAATTACTTGTATAAAATCTTATATCATCTGGCTTGATATTGCATAAAAAATAGTGGTAAATATTTATTTTTTAGTTCCTTCTTTGCCTTCATTATTCTCTTTTTCTTCTTCGTCAGAATCATGTTCTTCCTCTTCATCTTTTTTGTTTTTGTCGTTTTTCTTATCCTCCTTGTCGTCTTGTTCCTTTGAATTATTTGAACAAGCAACACTAGATTTTGAATTACTTTTCTTCTCCTTATCTTCCTTTGGCTTGCCATCGCAACTATCGTCGGCACAACTTTCAAACTTCCGTGAAATAATGTCTTTCAACTCCTGGTCTCTTTCATCGAGATAAGGTTGGAATTCCTTGTCAGTATTTCCAATGTATGCTTCAATTGAGTGCAACCTATCCAACTCTGCAAGAATCTTTTTCAATTGGTCCTTTCTCATATTATTCAAAAACGAGTTGACCCTGTCATCCGCATTACACACTGATTCCTTCTTCTTCTCTGGAGTCTGGTTTAAAACATAATTATGCAATCTCATGTCATTGTATGTTATTGAGAAGGGATAGTTAGGTTTTTTCATACAACCGCCTTCACTACTTGTTCCTGAAGCGGAATCATCATCATCAGAGAATCTAACGGAGGAACTTCCACCACCACAAGTACAGGACTTCTTTCCATCTTGTTTCTCACTTTTGTTGCTACTTTTTTTACTTTCTTCATCTTCTACATTTTCATCATTTCTGATGGAATTTGCTTGTGGATTAAAGGACGAAGATGAAGACTTTTGTGATGGAATGGTATCGGCTAAATCGGCATATTGCTCAATCAACTCATCAGTGATGGATTCAATACAGTGTGTTATATCGCGAGGATAAGTCGAGTCTTTATCTTTGACATTTTTAAGAAAACTGTATGCCCAATGGAGTTGATTAATACCCAAAGGTATATCCACTTCTTCAGAAGCGTACAAACTCCATACCACCGCTATGCTGTGATCCAATTGAACATGAAACGGTGGACATCGCACCATTTTTTTAATGGTAGCACTGTTGGAGTCATCAGAAACACGAAATATATACGGGATTGGTTTGTATTTTTCAGATTTAGGTTCGATGACAGGAATGGCGTTCACAGTAGAGTGGTGCACCCGAATTGCTGTATCGTCAAAATTATTTTGTGATTTATAAGAAGGAAGGGTATGGAATGACTCAGATTCATCTTTAGTGGCATTACTTTCTTGATCACTACATTTTTTCTGTTTACGACTCATTTTAGCACGATAAAATTTTAATATAAATGTGAAATGTATAAATGTCAGTATAATTGAACCAATAGATGACATTTTGTCATTAAGTGACATTATTTGCCTTTATCTTGTTCTTCCTCTTCTTCTTCTTCGTCTTCTTCATCTATCTTACCACAATGTTTACTATCTTCTTCATGGTTTTCTTGTGCATCACTGTAGGTCTCATCTGTAACCATATTAATATGATTCAATAGACCCTGAATATTAGGTGGCGTATTCCCGTCATAATCTTTAATGCATTCCAAATAAGCAGTTGCGGTTTTCATTTGGAATTCTGTTGGTTGATTACCAGACGCAAGCAACATTACAACACTCATAACGTTGCCAATCACATTAAATTCTTCTCCAATGGAATTGCTTAAAAGCGATGTTGATGTTTCTTCGTCAGCGTCTGACCAAGCAATTTCAGTATCAGATTCATATCTGTGGTCAATTTGTAAACGTATTTATTTATTATTTACAACGTTAAGTGAAATTTATTACCCTCTGCAAGAACATGAATTTCTACTATGCAATCGTTCCAGATCTTCAGATTGACACTTCACATAATCTGGTGAGACTTTTAAATAACCACCACCTCGAGGTTTTGCATAATAAATATCTTTATCAGTGCTTTTTGTTGAAGTACGAGATTTTGATGTTTTTGAGGATGTACATACGGTGGACATGATTACCTTTTTATGATTCGAGTAAAACAGTAAATTTAGGCATTTGACAGATTGTTCTAGTCAGTCATTAAATTATTAGCATAATGTCGCGGTACCACAATATTTATTGTTCGTGTTGTAATTTCAACGCGGATTTATCCGCCAATGAACATTTTATCGTTAAAAATGTAGGAGGCAATAATCACCACGACGTAGATTATTCCGACAAGCCCATTAAAATAAATTATAAACGTGCCATTGAAAATTTACTCTACATTTACCCTGATATCACCGATAAAGAGTTTTGTAATCTATTGGACATCGTTGAAGAGATCGAAATTGAAAAATTCAAGAAAAAATTGAAACACTATCAAAATACAAGAAGGCACTATTTAAGTCAAGCAAAGTCTAATATTTTCTAGTATCATTTTTTGACGTACACATTTCCCACAACTAGTAAAATTTTTGTAAGAAATGTCCAGTTCAAAGTGTGTCGAGAAGGTTAGCTGCGGTTGTAATTATGATGATACCGGAGAAGAAGCTCTCAGTATGTGCATCGCTCATGATTCTACAATTGATCAGGAAACAACTGAAAAGCACGACTTGACCAGAAACGTATGGGAACAGTTCCGGCCACCATCGCACTTTACCACCGCCAAACCAACTGTTACTGCCCGCCAACTTGATATTACCCGAAAGATGTTGGATGGAAGTGATGCAAAAGGAAGTAAAAATAATTCCAACAAGACACAGAAAAAGTTAAAAATCCCTGAAGACCAGAATAGCAGCCGATAATGTTTTATGAAATTTATGTAACAAATATGATTCTATGATATATCAAATATGCATGGACACAATATATTTTGAGCTTATTTGGTTTTGTTGGCGGCTTTTTCTCCTGCTAGAAACGATGCGTTGGAAAGTAGTTTCCGGCGTGCTCGCTGAAATTCTTCGAGGTCTCGTAAAAATTGCTCGCGTTCTTTTCGCTCAGTTGCGTCCAAGTCACTAAAATATACATAATAGTGGTGTATGTTTATATATTGGGTTTACTTACGCGGGTTTGTTTCCTGTCCCTAAAACAAAATATTTGAGGTAATATTAATGTATTTTAATTTATTTACTGGATTTTGTACCTTTGCTGCATCGTAATGTCCTTTATTAGAGCCTTGTCCTTCCTTGTTCTTGCTTTTCTTGCCACAGCACTTTTTAACTGCGGGGTTCATTTCATCCATTGACGTCTTGCGCTTAGCGACAACAATTGGTTGCTTCTGCAGTGCGGACGGGATCTCGATGATAGTTGTTTCGCCCGGATTAATCATTCCTTTTGGAATGACCACCTTCTGGACTTGCCCTTTGTCTTTGTTGCCCTTCTTGCAGGACATCTTCTCATACTATATGATTTGCATTTGGAATTTGGAGCGAGATTTTACATGATGCGGACGTAGACATACATGACGTGCGCGTCACATAATTTCAAACAAATATTAAAAAGTTACAACTGCCAAAAGTTTATGTCAAATCACATAAAACATAAAATTATACAAAAATGTTTGAGTGTAGATGAATTGTTATTTGATAATGTATTAATTTGGGTCCTGCTTTATTTTGCACTATCTTCCGCCCGGTGAACATCCGGAGGATCCGGAAAAGTTTACAGGTGGTTGTGTATTCGAAATTGTTGTTGTTACTTCTACTAATCGTCGACGCGCCTGCTGAAACATCGCGAGATCTGAGTTGATTTGATCACGTTCCGTGCATTCCAGTTCATCAAGATGTCGCTGCACATCATTGTTTAAGTTGCCTGCACGAGGTTGAGCTGGACAGGTACCTCCTGCTCCACTGGCACCGGCGCACTGTCCTGGGCATTTCATCATAGGTGTACTTTGTCCGCCTTGACGGATACCTCTTGCAAAATCGCTTTGGTTCATTGGGCTCATGCCTATGTTTCCACTATAAGATTTTCCTGGCATTCCTTGCCCTCCAGGGGCACCCGGGGTACATGGACTTCCTGGATCTCCGGGTTTTCCTGACGGGCCTACACCTCGTTCACTTGAAGGTGTTTCAGTAACAACTTTTTTGATAATTTTTGTAAATGTTTTGTTGTGACCCGGATTGGCTGGACCTCCTACACCGCTCGGGCCTGCTCCTCCTGCTCCACCAGGTTGTGCACCAGCACAACCAGGTCCTGGAATTGGTCCGCGTAGGGGCGGTCTTGGGGGACCTACTTCAAAACTAGCTGGTTCGATATTATAAGTTGAATATAAACCCAGGGACGGTGTTGTTGAATAGTTTCCAGTATCGTAATCGAAGTCCGAAAAATCTGATGTGTAAGTTCCAGGGCTGCTTCCGGCACCAGATCCAACGTTATAAGTTGCATTCCCACTCTGTGCTCCTGCACAAGTAAAAGTTCTTCCACCGGCAGGTGGTGGTGGTGAACGAGTATATGTTGCGTTGCCTATACCAGCACCAGCGCCACCTCTTCCACCATAGCTTCCACCGGCAGGACTGCCCGAGTAGTCTTCATCATCATCTTCGTCATCATCTTCTTCTTCCTCAGTTGTTATTATTGTTGTTGACGTAGTAGTTCGGGTTCGTTGAGGAGGTGATGATGCTCCACTAGGGTTACTATAGTACGATGAGGGCATAGTACTGCCACCATAAGGAGAATATCTACCATCATCTGAGCTGTACAACCCGCTGGCTCCACAACTTGCTGGACAGTCGAAGGATTGCATTTCACCGGAGGTCATTAGATCCAAATCAGGTGATCCCATGAACGACGAAGGTGGCGTCGCCCGTGGCCGATATTGAGTGTTTCCCGGCGGAGGCCTATTTGCAGGTGGCCGGTAACCAGTCATAAGCGCTCTTGGCGGTGAACCCCCTCGCGAATTTTGTGAGCGCGGCCTTACTTGAACACCAGGTCCCGCACATGGTCTCGGGCTTGCAGGAGATCTTGGTCTTATTCTTAAATTGGGATTAACTCCCGCGTTATCAGGACACCCTTTGGAGCTCGCCATTGAAGTGGGGACGCGTTATTTTAAAGAAATAGTTACACCATTATCAGATAATGCAAAAAAGCACACAACGCAGAATTTTATGTGAATCTAAGATCTCAACCAAAATATAATTTTGACAATCAACAAAATTTTTCGGAATCATAACAACCATCAAAACAATCAAGTATCGTTATTTACATTTTATCTCATTCTCCGAGTTACAAATTTAACTGCAATGTATCTTATTTTTTAAGTCCTCGATTTATGGACTCTAACAAATTTCTTCGGGCCAATTGCCATTGTCTGAGGTTTTTTTGTAATTCTTTCATCTCTTTCACTTCAATGTCTGACAACTCGCCTAAATCAGGTGAACTGCTTCTGCCTCTAGTATTAGAACAAACTTTATCTATTGTATCACTTGATGACGAAGAAAGATTATGATCACTTTTAGTTGGTTTATCATCATCCATATCACTGGGGTCACATACACAAGGAATTTCATCATCTTCTTCAATTTCTTCCATTTTACTTGTTTTCTTGCTATTTGTACAAGTTTGCGCACACGCCTCTTTGGATTCTTTAGGATAAACTTTTTCGATTTCCTCAACTTTTTTCTGTAGTTTATTCCACAGCATAGTGTCCCACTGGGAGCTGTGGCTCTTTTGCAATGCTGCTAATTGTTCATTCAAATCGCCTTCAATATCTTTTGAACGACATGGATACGAATCTCGATCCGCACGATACTTATCAAGTATTTCCGCTTTTTCCATATCTTGAATCTTCTTTAGCCTCCTCTCTTGACAAGTCATATTTGAGTTAGAACTGAAGTTTAACGAATCAATAATGGTTTTAATTTCAGTATTTGTTTCTTTTCTCAGGCGAATCCACTCATCAACAAAAATCGAGCTCAAATTCTCAACTTGGTGAACTCTTCGTTTTTCATAGTGATGATCAAGCATGATTTTAACCTGCGCATGACACTTCCGGAAGACTGCAAGCAATGCTCTAAAAATAGGTTCGTAGTTTTCCATTGTTGCTTCAGTGTCACGTTGTTCCATCACTTGTTTAACTGCATCCATTGCATACCACAAGTCATTCATAATGTCCACATGAACATTGTTTAACTCTAAGCGATCTGAGTGTGGGAATGATTTACTTTTTGACGATTGACACTCGGTACATTCGTCCTCTAGCTTTTTCTCCAGTTCCTCGCATATTTTAAACTGTTTCGCCAAAATTTCCTGCAGAGCCAAACCCATTTCAAAAATAAGTTCATTGAAGTCTTCCCCTGGAGAACAACCGCATTTATTATTTTCGTAGTTCTCCCATGTGGCAATAAAGTCTTCTTCCATTTGATCTGTTAATTTCATATATTCGTGATGGTAGGCAGACATTGTATCACTGTCTATATCAGACTCTGCCAGTGAAGAGTATTCATCAGCTAATTCAATGTCTTTCGCACAGAATTCATTGATTAATTCAACTATAAGTTTTGTAAATTCATTGGCTATGTTTTTCTCGTCATCTTTAATTTCAGACTGATTTAAGGGGTTTGCAAACATTGCACTTTTGTTTATCGGAGCATTGATGGAAACCAAGGAACCTTTTGAGTTTTTCTCATGGTTCATTTCATGATATAGTTGTTTTCGTCTGTTCATTAAATCATTATAAATACTGACTATTTCCGCTCGGAAATTGTTTTCCATTTGATTGGCAGCTTTCTCCTGAGCGCGTTTCTCCTTACAATCCATATCTTGATGGCTCCATTTGAGACTTCGTTCCATGCAACTCCGCATACGTTTACGTCTAATCAACGTTGATATAATGATAATTCTCAAAGAGGCAACGAAATCGTTGTAAAGTTTGTCCATCTTTCCTTTTCCACTCGAGCAACTGCCAGGACACGGGGGTCTGTCCTGTTTGCCGATTTGGGATGGAGTGGGGGTAGCCCAAGCTTTTGTTTCATTTCGTGTCGGCGAACTGTACGACCCGAGGTACGAAGGACGTTTAGGTGATTGGCTTCGCGGATCACTTCCACTGTAACTGGGGTAAGTACTTGCATAACTCTCTGGCGTTGGTTGTGGTTTTGGTGGTGCACGACTTTGCGGTGGTAATTCGGAATAGTAGTGCGTAGTGGGCGGTTGATTGATGCGTGCTCTAGCGGGAGATCTTGGCGCGTAAGACGTGTACGACTCTGGGCTTATATTTGATGTTTCGTAGATAATCTTTCTTGTTATGTAAGGAGTATTAGGATTTGGTGGAGGTGGTCTTGAGCGATTAGGCGTGGGTGATCTTTGCGTTTGGGGTTGGTAATATTCAGGAACCGATTGGTCTAAAATAGAAAATTTACTAATTTGTTTAACATTTTGAAACTATATTTACTTACTAGGGGCATATTCATTATAATATCCTGCATGGGGCGTTGTTGAATGGGGACCGTCTGGGAATACATAAATATTAATTATTTTTTAAACATTATATACTATTTTTGTAATAATAACTTGATCTTGGAGTAAATAATTGTTGTGGCTTAATTGGGCTTTGATAATCATTGGGATTTTGTGGACTGGCACCTCTAGGAGTTGATGCTGAACTGGGATCAACTAAAATTGTTTATATTTAATACAAATATGTTCTGGTGTTTAAAAGAATCGTACATGTTGTATTCATGCTCGTGTTCCAATTTCCGCTAGACCTCGGTATTCGATTGGGGCAAGACATGTTGGCGCTCTGCTGAATTTAACAATTTAAGGAACAACAAAAGAAAACAAAACGATGTGGGCAAATATCACTGATGATTTTTGATTGAAATTGGAATTTTTAAACTGACAACACATCTGACATCGTTTAACACTTTTACTGTCAAAATATGCGTTATTGCAGCTCTATTTTAAAATTTAGCTTTTATCATTTGTGTGGGTTCGTTTCATGTGGGACCAGAGCTGCGCGCTATCAACGCAGGCCACACTAGCCGCTATTGCAGTTATTACAAGGTGCATACGAATATCAGTTTCATGATTAAACTTGTTAGCAACTTGAAGGAACATGTTATATGAATTAAAAACCTAAATTTCAATTATTTATCTTGTATTCCCGAAAAGTACGGAAAATACAGAATACTGTAACATGGTATTTACGCGCTTAAAAACAGCATAAAAACGACGAAAAATTGTATTCTTAGTTTTTTAATAAAACTATTTATATTTCTACGATTTCGACAATACAAAACACTTGAAAATTATTAATGTAGCAAAACAATATGTTTTGAGCTTAATTCTGCGTTCTAACGCGAAGAAATTTTTCGAATTCTTAAAATTCTATTCTGACATTGGCGTTGATCATGGCAGCCACCAGAGAGCGCCAGCTATCGGGGTTCATTAAAGTAAAATCTAAAACGTCAGCATTTGTTATTGTCTCATACAATTATTAAACTTTAAAATAGTGAATTAAATATAAATTGATTATGGGTGATAAGAAGACGAGTCCGTTGGACATAAACGGGCAAAATTTCAACGCCAACATGTACCTTGAAAAGTTATTCAAGGTAAAAACATAATTTTAACCTCCAACTATTACAATTTATTTATTAACTTATCAATTTTTAAAGGAAAACAACCTGAAACAAGTTATGGATCATGAAACTGAGATCGTGAAAGATACACAAACTCTTCATTCCGATATGCAAACATTGGTCTATGAAAATTACAACAAATTCATCTCAGCAACTGACACCATCAAGAAGATGAAGAATGATTTTAAACAAATGGAGGCAGAAATGGACCTGTTGGCATCCAACATGGATTCAATCACATCCTTCTCAGACCAGATAAGTTCCACTTTAAGTGATACCAGACAACAAATTAGTAAACTATCAGGTACTCATACATTACTGAAAAGACTGCAGTTTCTTTTTAAATTACCAGCAACATTAAAAACCAGAATGGAAGAGAAAGATTTTACTAATGCTGTAAAAGATTATCTGCATGCACAGAGAGTATTGCAACAGTATGGTGCAATGCCTTCATTTCAAGGCATTCAAACAGATTGCGATTTGATTGTAAAAGAACTAAAAGAGGAATTGCGTCGCCAATTCTCGAATCCAAACGCATCCGCTAAAGAACTAGCGACCTCAGTTGATTTACTACTGCAATTAGATGAGCCTGCTAAAGAATTGTGCATGGAATTTTTATCTTGTTCAGAAAAACGTCTGAGTGAACAGCTTGTAATGCTAAGAGACCAAAGTGAAGAGAGAGATATTACCGAATTCGTTGATTTGGGTTGCTCTGGCTTCCTGAGTGATCTTTGTTTGATGGTAGCTTCATTTCACGACATGTTCATAAACAGAATGAACACTGATAACATTGAAAACAGTGAGATTTTCGAAAATTTCGCTGCGACCGAAATGAATTCGTTCATTTTGCAAAACATGAATCGATATTTTGATCTTATGCGGACTAAAGTTGAGATGGAGCAAGATGTCGGCGATACGATTGTCATAGTAAAAGCTTTAGATCGTTTCTATCGCAGATTACAAGCTATGAATACGCTATGCATAAATGTTGACTTTGAAAGCAGCGGAACTGATATTGTCATCAATGCTGGTAAGAAACAAGCAAAGGGACACTTGCAAGTATTAAAACTTTACTTTGCTGAGAGTATTACGAAAGTACGACAAAGCTTAGCCAGTCAGAAGATTCTCAATCAAGAAGAGAACTCAAAGAATCTCACCGAGTTGTTAAGCTCGTTGATTATGACAACTGTCGAAAAAATTAAGGGCGTTCTTCAGGATTTAGTTGTGTTTATTCAACCTGAAGTACATTTTGGACAGAAAAATAAGTTTAGGGATAGTTTTTGTGTGGATAATGTACGAGAAGGTTTGATTGTATGCTTTCTACATCATATTACTGCAACAGCGAGGAGTTTTTGTTCGAATAATGTCTCGGATCCAAAAGTGCCGCCGACATTATTGTTACTTCTGTCGAAGTTTTGCGTTGATTTTCAGAATGGTAGCGTACATTATTTGGTAAGTTAATTTAAATCACTAAACACTCAATGAATTGAAAATACTATGATCCTGTGTTTAGTTGTCACAAACTGATGAATTATTTCACATAAATCCGAAATCATCATCTGCGCTTACAACTGAAAACGAATTGAACACTTCAATGCAAGAATCCGCTCAGGAATTGTTGAATTATTTCGTTAGGATTCAAGGATTGAATGTTTCACAGGTAAATTGCACACTATTACATGTTTTTCTTTAATTATAATTTTAAACTTTGATCACTTAAAGATGTTAAGAAAAAGTGTGGAGACTCGTGATTGGCTTCACACAATTGAACCTCGTACAGTGCGTGCGGTGATGAAGCGCGTTGTTGAAGATATCGCCGCTATTGATAACACTGTCGCGCTGCTTTATGAAGATCAAGGCACCGCAACTGAACACAGCAGTGATTCTAGTCGCAAAACTCACAGTATTTCCGTATCGAAACATCAATTCCGATCAAATTGGTCCACCTACACTCCAAATCATTTAGATTCCACTCTCGTATCCAATATGCACAAGTTATTCAGTGAGAGGATTGAGATATTCAGCACAGTGGAACCGAATAAGATATCTATATTAACTGGTATTATTAAAATAAGTCTGAAGACTTTTATGGAGTGTGTGAGGCTGAAAACGTTCAGTAAATACGGATTGCAACAGATTCAAGTGGACACACATTATCTGCAGCTTTATTTGTGGAGATTCGTCGCTGACGAGAAGTAAGTTTTTGTTTAAAATGCATTTTAATAGATATTCTCATGTTGTTTGATTTGTTTAACAGTTTGGTACACTTTTTACTCGATGAAATTCTTGGGTCTGCTGTTCATCGCTGTTTGGAGCCAGTTTTGATGGAACCGAGCGTCGTTGACATTATCTGTGAGCGTGGATAAAGTTCATCAGGTTTGTATATAAGTCTTATTTATAATCCAAGTGATAATATTTATATATTAGAATAAATTAATTAAAGAAATGTTACGAAAATATAAACATGTTACCTTATGTTTAAACTTTTTAGTTTTTTTATGTTGTTACAAACTACTCTATTGATAAGCACTTGAGCAGCAGGAGGTAGAAAATGAACTCCTGCGGCACTAGTACTTAGAAACAGGTAGCTTTACATCACTTAAGTAATACCACACAATTGCTTCAGCAATAAAATCCGCAGCATCTGAAAGCAAATTGAAAAATTACTCATAATTCAAGCATTACATTCACACATCATGTCATCCATGATTAAATTCACTGTCTTGTAAGTTTACGACAATGCGCCGCGCAACTGAAACCGACTTGAGCGCGATGTGTAAATTAGAATCAATTTAATGTCGCCAATGTCGCTCGACGTGGTCGTCACCGTTGTATTTGAATGGACTTGAGTCCAACACGCCTTAAGCAACTGAGACATGTCTGCCTCTGTTTGTGTGCTTTTACTGTTCGCGAGGAGTCGGGAGGCTTGAATATGTGCGCATTGTCGCTGGAAGGTTAACCAATATGACCCCAAACTAAATTAACGAGCACGGCTCCAGTGTTTTAATTGAAATTACTATATTAGCGTGTGCACGCACGATTTCCACGGCGTGCATCATTCATGGCGGACATTTTTGAATGGCGGCCCAAATTATTAGACTTAATTTAGTCTCCCCCTCAGTGAACCTATACCCACATGTTTATCCCTCTTTGACACGAGATGCTGCGCGTCGACTTTGCTTAATTGATACAAAAAGGGGACATTTTACAATTATTTCCCATAGGGGAGAGAATATTATACCCACGGTTTGTAATTGTAGGCTGAACTAATGCGAATGGAATTTCGTTCCGAACGCATCATGTCGGTCATGTGTTGAATTTAAATCAAACGCATGAATAATGAAATGTCATACTGCATGATTATTTACATCGAGCGCAATTAGCGCATTCTCGCGATTAGTCAATGCTTGCGATTGTTGGCTTTCCTCAAGTTAACCGCGCTCTTAAACTATTTATAAACCGTTTTACTTACAACATTACTGATAATATTGTTATGATCTATCGGTTTTCATCAACAAGTGTTAAACTAAGATTAAAACTATATAAAACCAATATTTGCAAAATATTAACCATTCTAGTAACAAGATTTGTTTTTTATATAATTTTTGTGTTCAAGCTTGAAACTTATAATCATATCAGTGAAGTAATCGTTTCTTCGCGGGTCAGAAGCGTCGCGCTGAGGTCAAAAGTTATAAAATTTGTTCGATAAACGCCGTGCGAACGCTCATTACTGGAATGAATATAAATCGAAAAAGTCGAAAGAAAAAACTTACGGTGCGGTGATAAATTTAAAAGTTTATCGCTTGTCACTTCTCGAATGTGTCGCTTGATGCACTTTTTATCAACTGTTATTTAACTCTCTGTTGTTGATATGCTTCTGTATGTTTTTGTTTTTATATAGATTTTAAGTGCGTGCGCGACGTGTGCGCTCGCCGATGCGACTAACCACTTAACGCATCCCGATCGACTTTATATGCGCTGCGTGCCCACATCCTAGCGCGCTAATTTAGCTTATAAATTAAGAGATTATTTCCTTTTGTCGCGCGATGAATAGCCGGGCGCGCACGGACCATGCGAGCCGATGTGTTTGCTCTTCTTGTTATTATTTCATTTCGTATTCGTATGAATGGTTTTTGCTAGTCGAAAATTTTACCTTGGCTGAAAAATAAGTCAACTTTATATTTGCCACTAGGAAAAAATATCTAATTATTCTAGTTGAGTTCAATTTAGTCTAATTTTATAATTTGTCGTGTTGGTGATTAACGTAATGACAAATATGTATTCATTTCTTTTCTTGTGGCCGACTCGTGGCTCTTCCTCGAGTCATATTATTACACTTTATTACTTATTATTACTTAACATTGTTAGGCGCTTGTTGATGCTGATGGACGTCGAGAGGCGCGCTCCGCAGAAGACGCGAGAGCGTTCGTGTGATTGAAACTTTTTTAATCGGCGTTTCCTATTTAACGCCACTTCCGGTGCATCTCGGGGCACCCGGCGGTACTCTCCATACACATACTCATTGCTCGCACTCGTATGAAAAACGCATTTGTTAATATTTATTGTTCCCCTCGCGTCGGTCATTAATTTCTTTTATTTTTAACGCGATAAATCTGAAATAGATTTTTACATACTGTATGTTAACATAACCTCGTCTAAACATCAACATATATTTTTATAATACAACACTCGGTATAATATTTTTATGATTTTTGATTCCTTGTGCCCTGAAACATAATGGGATGATGGGAATGTGGGAATAGTGATGAGGAATAACTTCCTAATTGTGTTATCCCGCATAATTTTCTTCTTTATGCCGAAAAAATACAAAAGATACAAACGACACATATAGCACAAATACACAAGTTATTAATTCCCCTATTACGTATTATTTTTCAATTTACCATATTCTAGATGTTATTCAAATGACTAATCGTATACAAATACCAAACGTTGTACTACCGATGAATGCGATGAATAGAACATCTGACAATTAGCTCACTTCAAAACTTAAGCACTCAACGCATACGCAGCGCTGATTGTATTCATGAATGGGACTTGAAGTGCTCGAACCTAATTCAATTTCACTTAATTTTACGTCTTAGCTTCTTAATTGTAATTTATTCACAACTCACGATACGTTTTGTGCTTGTGCCAATGTTAATACAATTATCAATTTATGTATCAGTGCTGTTTTAGTTTTTAGTTTTATATTTAATAAGCATGATAATTCATGCCTTGTCGTAGTGTCATGCAGTCGACTTCATCGATTTTCAAAGTATTTGTTTTAATATTCAAGTCTTCTTCGATTTGTATTTGAGTTTTTAGAAGATAACGCATTGACGCTTGCGCTTCGCAGACTGTTTGCTGTAATTTATTAACGTTCTGTCGTAATTCCAACACTTCGTTGACCAGGTTTGTTTCGACAAGATCACGACACAGCTCCATGCCTGGACGTTGGGCACGATTTCCCATTCTGGTGTGTGCCAGGGCCATGTAACCCTCTTTCTCAGAAAGGGAGATTTCCAGTTGGGTTATTGTGCGTCCCACTTCGTTTATCTGACGCACAGTCTGAAAATTTGATGGTAAAAAAACATTTTTATTAGTTATTTACATGTAAACACTTACTTCAGCATGTTGTATCTCCATTTTGTATTTGGACTCTTTTGTTTCTTCAATGCGACTGCGGAATGCTTCATTAACAACGTCATATTGATTCTTTAAATCTTGCATTCCTTGATTAATAATCATATCGATATAGACGACTAACATTCGAGAACTGTTTATTTCTCTCGCTCCACGTTCAATGTTTTCTTTTGAGAAAAGCTGCCATTCTTCCATTGTAATGGTCCTAAGTTTACAAAATATTAAATCAAAAAGTAAAATAATATGTCTAATAATTTCTTACGCTGGGTCTAATGGTGCATGTCCATGATACATGCTCAACTGAAGACTTTTTTCATCCAGTCCCAAATTATGCCCGTCTATTTTAAGCACATTTACTTTATCCTCAAGATCTCTGTCCATGAAATAAACAGTACTTCTCAAACGTCTAAGTTGCTCCTGAGTTTGTTCCAAATTTTTGGAGATTAGCAACTGAATTCCCGTCAACATCTCGCGTTCCTTCAGCAGTTCCTGTTCGACCATATCGTGACACAAGTCAATCCCCAGACGTCCTTCTCGAAGGATAATACATTTCTGGCAGATATTGGTACATTCTTTCATCAGATTCAGACAGTCCCTGATACGATCCGCGTACATTACCAAGCTGTCTTTTTCATTAACTACCGCACGGCGTTGTTTATCGATTTCATTTCGCATGAATTCAATCTCATCGATCTTTTGTTGCAGATTGTGATCGACTTCTCGCTTGTTCATTGATGTAATTTCACATACTTGCGTGTTAGTCTAAAAACAGTTCTTTATTTACTTAAATCTTTAAATATTAATAAATTATTTACTCTATCACATTCTGCAAGGATTTTATCGGCTAATTGCTGCTGGTCCTGGCAAGTTCTATACTTCAATCGATTGTTCAAGTGCCATTCTCCCAATGAAAACCTAGAAATACAAAATTATATTTAATTAAAGTTACATGAAGCATATTTTATACCTGGGTGGCGGAGGTGGAATTACCACGACGTGTTCATTTACTAAATTGGTTAAAGTCATTGTTGGTTTATTGTAAACGCTTGTCTTCGGTCTTTCGCAATTCATGGCTGTAAAAATAACAATAAGTTTTATAAAATATCGGTTTGATGTGTGACAATTCAATTGATGCCAAAAATGTAAATAAGGTAAAGGATAGGCTCAAACAAACTCAAACAAAACGTTAGCAACTGTTTGTTTTGTCAATATATAACTTTCCTGAAAGTTTTATCACTAAAATTGAGACAACTTAAAGTTTAAAAGAATGCCCGCGTTGTTTTACTGGTTTAATCACGCGCATGCGCAGTTCTTAATCCATCTTAACTTATATCGATTAAACACGATCATTCTGTTCGTGGATACCCGTGTTACTTATGTAAGCATTTGCGCGTAACCGGTGTCCACCACTAAGCTAGCTTAGTAAAACAGAAATCGGACGGAGGTAAACAAGTTCACGGCCTCGCGTATACCTGTGACTACCATTTCTACCTGTTTAGTTGAGCAAGAGATGTGTGGATAGGCGTGCCCACAAAAACAATGCATCGAAACGCGTGTTTTATATCAATTTTCATCTTATTTTACGGTAATTACTTGAATTTTAAAAGAAAAACATGATTTATTTTGTATGTTTAAATTTGTTTTATTTTGATAGTTGGACAATTAAATGCTGACTGCACGTTACCTTTTATCGTACGAGGCTCGTGGTTTTCATGGGAAAATGGACAAAACACACTCACAGTTATTGATGCAAATAGTATGAGCCACAGAGGATTCTGTGTGACAATCAAAGATGACTACAAAGTAAACTATACAGTTGTATTCAAGAATAACAAATGTTATACATGTGTTAAGTTCCTGATTAGGACTGTGAATGTTGTTGAGAAAATTGAGAGTAAGTTATTACTTTTGTAATGTAAACAGACATGTTTACATTGAAAATGCTGTGTTTATTCTAAGAATTAAAATTATAAATATTTTAGCATCATGTCTGAGTTTGCCATATGGACAAGAGCCATCAATTGAGAATGTCTGCAGAGAATTACATGCTGACCAACAGTTGATTACATTTTTTGCTGAAACTCCAGTAGCTGTGAATTGTCGTTCCGCACTTGAAGGTGTTTGGCAATTCACCTATCAAAATCGGTTCAAATTTACAGGAGAATGTAATCACCCAGATGCACAAATAAAATCATGTCAGATTGCTGGATCTCAGTTTCCTATTGCCAATCAAAAATTTAATATCACTTATAAAAAGTGTGAGGGTATGACCGGAACTTTTGATGGTGTTGTGGAATACAGTTGTTTGGGCGATTGGTTTGTACAAAAGAATCATTATTTTGCGGTGGTCAACACAAAAGAGTCTCGAAAAGACGAGAAATACAGATGTTTCTTGAAAAATCGTGATGATGATCTCTACATTGGCGCATCTATCACAGCTGAGTGTAATACATTGAAAACTGTTGAGAAATCTCCGGAGAGATTAAGAATTACTCCAGGTAAGTACATTACATTTAAAAACAATATAAAACCAAACTAAATTCTGTGTTATTTTAGTTAAAAGAGAAGTGGTAGAACCAAGTTGTCGCCTCCCGCAGAATTTCACTGGTCGATGGATCAACACTGCTAATATTGACGCAGATATTTACATCAATGAAACACATATTCTTGAAACATGGTACCCTGATGAAGGAAGGTACAGAACGCATACTTATGTGTGTAGAGAGAAGCGTGATACTAGAGTGATGATGGCTCGTCTCACAGTCGATGGATGTCAGAAAGATTATGTCTGTTTTGATTTTGTACCGCAGCATCACAATGTTATTAGATACAGACGTGGTATTGCCGTAATTAAGGATGATTTCTCCACCGTATGCTCGTGGGTACAATTTCCTAATAAGGAAAAATGGAAGTATGATTTATATTTGGCTAAACATCCTGTTGCGGTGAAATGCCCAGTTGCAGGAAAGTTTAACTTTACACAAAAGGGAGATATTCCATTTGAGACACGGTAATTTTATATTTTGTATGGTGATTATTGTTTACTAATTTGTATAATGTCCGTTTTAGTATTCTTGGTGGTGTCACACTGAGTCCACGTCCAAATACTTATTGTAAACAAAATATCTCTGATTTTTCTGTTTGCGATACCGATCAGAAGGAAATTGCTATCGATGAAACTTATTGCCTCTCCGTGGACCATCTCGGCAGACCTGTGGATATTTACAGTGACCCTGATTATAAAATGAAATGCATTGGTTTCTGGAAGGAGAATCTTAAATCGTACCTGATTACCTACGATGAACTGGATCCTTTCTCGAAATATCGCTGTTGGGTATATCAACGTGCGGATTTGAATAAAGTTCTTATGTCGCAAGCGATCGGACCATTCTGCGATATGAATCAGGATGTCTTCTCTTCGAACTTCACCGAAGGCGCTGCAGTCGCCATTGAGATGCAGGAATATGAAAGAGAACGTAAGTGCCCTTTTAAATTATATTTTCTTTATTATTTATTGCGATTTTTATGTGCAGGTGATCAGTGTCCAATGCACTTTGACGATGGAGCCAATCCTTGGCTGGATACTGAAAATGTCATACAAGTATTTAACTTTGGTTAAATATTGGCCCGCATTTATTTGCATTTATTGAAAGGAAATGCTTTCTTTTCGAATCTTAATTTTTTAATACTTTTTCTACAACTAGAATATGGTAAGACACTTTGTGAGCAGCTGAACAATTTTAGATTTTACTAAGGGATACGCACCTCGAGGAATGTTCCAAGTGTTTTGAATCTCAATCTGTTAGTTTTTTTTTAACTTGTACTTTTTATTACTTTTACAACATGAGTTTAATGTGTACAATTTATGATTAATTAATTATGTCTTTGTTCATCATCTATGTACCTGTTTACCTTCTGAAAACAAAATATTACTAAGATGAAACAACGGATAATTTTTCTTGTTTGAGATTTTTTGCAGATCAAGAGAATTGAATAATGTTTTATGGTGTTTTTTTCCTTGGTTAAATTTGAAATTTTACGATTTTTACTAATAGTTTATTTTTAAATCAATTTAATGCAATAAATAAATCATAAAATTATTTGGGACTTTTTGGTAAAATGATTTAATAATTAACTTGAATTTAATAAAGTATAACACAACATGCTGCTTTTATTTAATTTTAAAAATTTTATTTGGTTTTATCTACTAGTAAAATAAATAATGTGATAATAAATATCATAATAGAATTTAAAAATGTCCGTTTTAAAAGTTGTTTATAATAGTTTTATTCCCACTATGCAACTCAATAACCTAACCTAAAAATACGTAAATACGTTCTGTTTGTAATTTGAGTGTTGTTGTTGTATACCAAGTTCAAAAAGTGAATTAAAATGTCTAAACCACCAGAGAAAAAGTATTTTGTATATGTAATGTATTACATTAGAAATCATTTTGTTCTCGTTGCAGATATGGTCTTATTCTTCCAAATAAACAACAAAAACCATCTACATCAGGTGCACTTTTACAAAAACCTGGCATTTTTCAAAATGATTCAGATTCTGATGAATCTATAGAGAGACCAACAGGAATTTCAACTGGTTTAAAACGTCAGGTATGTTATTTAACTAATGTTATAATTAATACAACGTAAATTTTGTATATTTAATTTATCCCAGGATAAAGAAATACAAAACAAGGCAATTGAAGAAGATCCAACAATTTATCAATATGATGAACTCTATGATGACATGGATAAAAAACGCAAGGATTCAAAACTATCCCGAAAAGATCTTGACAAAAAACCGAAATACATCAGTAATCTACTGAAAGCCGCGGAGAAACGCAAGATTGAAAATGAGCGTAGAATTGAACGCCAGGTACAACGCGAACGTGAAGCCGAAGGCAACGAATTTAAAGATAAAGAACAATTTGTTACTGCTTCATATAAAAAGAAACTAGAGGAGATGCGTAAGCAGGAAGAGTTGGAAAAACGCGAAGAATATCTGGAGGCAATCGGCGATGTCAAAAAACAGGGCAATTTAGACGGATTCTACAGGCATTTGTATGAACAAAAGGTGAATTATGATGAAGATAAAGAAAAAAAGATGGAGGATATTAAAACAAACATTAAAAAAGAAGATTCTGATGAGAGTGACAATGAAAAACCTGTTAAGCGAGTTAAGCATGAAAAAAGGCGACAGTATCGTCGCAAAAGAAGTCATTCTATATCCGACGATTCTGAAACTGAAGAGAAAAGAGCAAGCGATCATTTGCCATCGAATTTGGATGCTGATTCTGATTTTTCAATTGATTCGGACGACTCAACTTCGGATAGATCAGATACCTCTAAATCAAAGGTTTCCCCTCAAGAAATAGAAGTAAAGATTGAAACAAAGGTGGAAAAAGCAAGTGAAACAAAAGTTAAAGCTGATGTGCCTAATGGAACACCACATTCAGAATTTAATGGGCATGAAAAAGAGGAAAAGAAACCAAAGATTGATATTTGGAAGAAGCGGACTGTTGGCGCCATCTTTGATGCTGCTGTGCAACGATACTATGAACGTGAAGCGCAACGCAATGCTGTCGCAATCTACGATAATTCATTTGTCTTCGGTATCAATATTCCTGCTAGCTGAAGTGATGAGATTTTTGTAGATTAATGTGAATTGGTGAAAAATAATGTAAGTTACGTAAGAATACAAGATGAACGAAGTGGACACATGTGTTGCCATCAACCTTCGATAGCTCAGTTGGTAGAGCGGTGGACTGTAGAAAGTAGTACTTGGTAGACATCCATAGGTCACTGGTTCAAATCCGGTTCGAAGGAAACCTTTTTTGTAATTTTTTTTACAAGGACCTTAATCGTATACGAACTTAATGTTCTTTAAAATTTTTAAAACTTTTTGCTAGCTCAGTGGCTTTTGTTAATTTTTCTTCATTGCGTACTTTTGTTCAAATTTAACATTTATTACAAAAATAAATACCTAATAAGCTTCGTTTAAATACACATCCACATTTTAAAGCATCTTTAACAACATCAACGTCATAAAAATCAAATAGTATCAAATAATTGCACACCAAATTTTAGCTACCTAAATACACCCTGTCACATTATAAGTATAAAGTACTTAATACCATTTTGTTGCTATTGGTGTAGCAATTACACATTTTGTATCTAAATATTGACATCAAATTACCTACTAACATCTTTTACATTAAAAATTTATAAATATGGGACAATTTTACTATTCAGTGTTTTTTGGTCAGGTCACTTTGAATTTGTGATTGAGGAGTAGGTTGTCGCTGGGGTTTAATTGGATTAGCGATTGGCACTGTGGGTACTGTAGGTATCGCAGTTGTCGACGCTGCTGCAGCGGCAAGTGTCTGCTGCTGTTTAGCCAAGTCCTGAGATTTTATATGGTGCATATACGCGAGGAAACTTGTCCACATTAAGCTGCACATGCTGACGAAAGGCACTCGGTTACGCTCTTTGATATAGGCGAAATTTATTGTCTGGAGGATTGGCCATACACATACTGCAACCTGATAAAAAGAAAACAAATGTGAAATACCAGTTAAATCACATTAGAACATTTGTAAATATTCCGATTTATCCATAATCATGCAAATATTTGTCATAAACGGTTTGATTCCGTTTCAGATGTCATTAGCATAATAACTAGGAAAATACCATCATTTATCTACTGCAGATAAGCACAGTATTATGATAATAATGATAAAATTGTACTCACTTTATAAGATGGCCAGAACTTTTCACTAACTTCATGTGTGGCTTGATGAAAACCGCGTCCTTCTAGAAGTGTCATGCCAAAGAAGAACATGCAAAGTGCTGCAGGTCCATAAGACATTTGTTCCACAATTGCCTACAAATAAACATGATTCAAGTATTTACATTAACCAACTGTATGTAAATATATATCTTACCTTTGCAACTGCTGTTCTTAAACTAGTTTTAGGCCATATAAAAGTACTTAATCTAATCCAACAATACAAAGTGGGTGCAACAAACAGCCCACCATAAATACTAAATCTTGCTGCTGCCCAATAGTTATAGTTCTTGTAGTTTTTGCCTTCAATGACTGTCTGTTGAATCAAACATGATGTGGGCCAGATCATGCTGTATGTAATCATACCCCTAGTCACGGGGTACATTCTCAGGAAGGCCCTGAACCGTGATAATACTGCCATTTTGAACAATCCACTAACAATTTCGTTTTTCTTATTTGTATTGTTACGTAGCGCGACAGGGTTTATGCGCACACTGACTCAAACGCCTCATACTGCGAATTTGTGTTTCAATTTGTCTAATGCCAAATTCGAGACCTTGTACCGATTATAGTAACGTACGCTAAACTCAGACTTCGTCACTGACATTGCAGCGCACGTGCTATGCAAGGACGGCGTCGACGGGGAAAGTGCGTAGAGAGGAATTGAATGCGCGCAACAGTTGCGCGCCGTTATCTCCTGCCACATGATGAAACACTTAGCAAGATGTGATAATAAAGCGAGATAATTACTAATGACTATAGTAATGTAATGACAAACAACCGTAGTTGATTTTGTTTTTTTATTGTTTTCAAAACGTCAAACAGCTGAAATATACTGGTTGCGCCATCTGGATGGACAAGTATCAAAAATGAAAAAAAATTTAAAACTAAAAAGTATTGATAGCCGAAAAAGAAATACGAATAAAGTTTTAATTAAATTACTTAATTTATAAATATTAATTTGTTGATATATTAGCTATTTGTGTTTATTTACTTGTCAAAATATTATTTGAAGATGGCGCTTGAATAGTGGCGTATTGACGAACTGTGCTCAGGAAATTTTAAATTTTAAATGTTTTTCTTCATATTTATGGACTTAAAGAAGCGGAGGTAGCTTTTTACACAAATAATTATTTAATCTGTACAGACAATACATAGTATAAGTTGGGGTGAGTATTCTCTTCATTGTCATATGATGATAACGAGGTAGAAATGCAAAACATGCGAACAGCGTTACAAGTTTAGTTACAATTCTAACGACTAGCAAAAATATACGTTTTACATATTTGGCATTGAGTATTATTTAACAATACATTAAAATTCTTTGTTCGAAACATCAAGTTGAAGTTCAAGTGCACGAATGATTTTCGGTAAGGTAACCATTGTTGCGGTGTCGCACGCCTTCACCTTCCTCACTAAGAGAGCAACTTCGTGGCGGTGGGCGTGCAAGCAGTCCCTTGAAAGGACTAAGCTTAACACTTTTTGCTGGGCTGTGGATAAAGTCCCCAGTGATGGTCAGATTACCGCCGGTGCTACCTTGACTCTCCGGTTTCATCTCCGCGGCCGGAGCGGTCGTAAATCCTGGTAAATTATGCTCGCTGACGCCGTGCTCAACGAGATATAATTGCGGTGATGACGGCGACACCGTCCCGCTCACGTTCAAGCTCGGGTTGAGACTCAGCGTCAGTGATAACGCCTGTGCGCGGTTCCCGACGGGAGAAACACCTCATCATTGCAATCATCATCAATTGAACTAATGGACCTGCGTTGTTGTTCATCGGATATTTCTGAAATACGCCATATATCTCGACTTGCTTCAGCGGTAGCCGCTGCTAAGGCAACAGAGTTACCTACAAGTGAAGAGATTTTATTCGCCGATGGTAATGTGTGTGGTAGAGTTTGAGAACGCATTTGACTCTCACAAACAAATCTAGATGCTTGACTCAAAGACATAGCACTGTGTGCCTCACGTATACTTTGCAGACGATAGTGAGTAAAGTTATTATTGAGCGCATTACTATTCGGTGGTTGTTGCAGCTTTATTCCAAAAATGTTGCAGATGAAAGCCTTGAGCGCAGCGCGGAAGTCCTTCAAGTGATAGGCGTAGAGTAGCGGGTTACCAGCGGAGTTGAGATGTGAGAGGATGATGCACGAAAGGACAAACGTCGAGTTCACCTTGCAATCGCGACAGAATGCAAGGATACAATTAATCGTGTACAGGGGAATCCAGCAGATCATAAAGAAGAGCACGATAATGGAAAGATTTTGTGTGGCTTTCACTTCGCGTTTTTGTGCCGCCCCCAGCACGCGCAACATTGTGCCACCACCTGTGGAGCGGCTCGAGTTTTGTCCGCGAGAGTTGCCGTTGTATGGATTTATCGTCACAATTTGACGCAGCTGTAACGAGAAGATAAACATCATCAAAATCATAAAAATGTGATGTAGAAATAGTTGAATACCTGCTTCAAGACCACATGATAAATGTGAGCGTAGAATACAGCCAAGAGGAGTGCAGGAGTGATGATAGTACCAAAGTAAAGAAACACCAGATAGTTGTAATCCATCACTCCGAGGAAGAAACAGCGTCCGTTTTCAGCAGGGCCTTTATGCCAGCCCATCAGCGGGAGGAAGCCTATGATGGATCCAGCAAACCAACAGATGCTTATGATCACTGAAACATGTCATTTGTCATCAGAACATCATAAATTCAAAATCATAAAACATGTAAGATCATTTCTATTTTGGCCTTAATTCTTCTAAATTCTCATTATCAAAATCATATCTCATTTGTAACAATGAGGGAAGTGGTCCATATTCAACTAGGAGCTGCTGGTAATAACATCTCTGCAAGGGTAAGACATCAATACATAACCAACATTCTTAAAACACCTGAAATTTACAGTTTTGGGAGTTTCTTTCTGATGAACATGGCATTGACCCAAGAGGGTGCTACCATGGCACTAGTGACCTCCAACTGGAACGAGTCAATGTCTTTTTCAACGAATCCCGCAGTCGATATATACCACGAGCGGTTTTGGTAGATTTAGAACCCTCCACAGTGTCCAGTCTCCGCTCCTCTTATTTCGGTCAACTATTTCGCCCCGATAATTTCATTTTTGGAGACCAAGGTGCGGGTAACAATTGGGCAAAAGGTAATTTCACCGAAGGTGCAGCAATATTGGAACCTGTCTTGGATGCCACTCGTCGGGAAGCTGAAGAATGTGATTGTCTTCAAGGTTTTCAATTGGTGCACGCACTAGGAGGTGGGACAGGTTCGGGAACTGGTAGTCTAATACTAGATAGTTTAAAAGAAGAATACCCGGATCGAATTATCAGCACATTTTCACTTATGCCCTCTACCAGAGTCTCTGATGTAGTAGTGGAACCATACAACTGCACACTAAGCTTACCACATTTGATCAATTCCGTTGACGAGTGTTATGTTATAGACAACGAAGCACTATATGACATCAGTACTAGAGCTTTAAAACTAAGCGCACCCGCATACTCTGACATGAACCACATTGTAGCAGTGGCTATGTCAGGGATAACATCAAGTCTACGCTTCCCAGGTCAACTTAACACTGACCTACGAAAGATTTCAGTCAATTTGATACCATTTCCTAACCTACACTTTCTCATGCCTGCGCAAGCACCACTCGTTGGCCGTTGTGATCAACACCAGATACCAGTGAGTGTTGGCGAAATTGTTTCACAAATATTCGACGCGAAGAATCTCATGTGCGCATGCAACCCTACCAAAGGTAAATATCTCACAGCGGCGGCCATTTTCCGTGGTCTGGCATCCACAAAAGAAGTAGAACAACTCTTAGCTAACATGCAGCTCAGAAACAACTCGTATTTCGCTGAGTGGATTCCAAACAATGTCAAAAGCGCGATCTGTGACATCACCCCGCGTGGGTTTCAGTTATCCTCGACGTTTATCGCCAATAGCACTTGCATCCAAGGATTATTCAAGCGTGTCGTCCACTCTTACAATCAAATGTTTAAACGCAAAGCTTTTTTACATTGGTATACAAACGAAGGAATGGAGGAGTTGGAATTCATGACGGCAGCGACGTACGTGAAGGATCTGATTGCAGAGTATCGACATGCCCAGGACATGACGATAGATGAAGAACAAAATGACGCAACGATGTCGGTTGATGTGCGTGCAAGCAGCGAGGCATAATAAATTTGATAAATTTGGTCATTTCGCACAAGCGAAGCTCCGCTTCGGTTTTTCTTTAAAAGTAATTTCCACTCAATGGCGGTCCATTTCAATTACGTTCCTTTCGCTTCCAATCAAATCAAATTCACACTCAAATGTTAAATTATTGCACGGGTCAGTTATTCGCCGGCGAATTTCATTGTCACGCTGTTATTTAGTGTTATTTGTGCGTGCGTTTCGGTGGAAATGGCGTGTAAATGATTGAAATTGGTTTGTAAAGTGACGCACATCGATCCTAGGCGGGGCCGCGAGCAAAATCAGTGTTTATATAGTGTTGCGAATTTTCGCTTGGCGAAACTTTTCATCATTTACTTCAAATTACAGTTTAATATTTAGGGTATCAAGGTGAATCTGAGGATTATCATCCTAGGGCAACATTAAACTCAACGAAGAGGAAACTGTGCATAATTTTCCAATAATACGATCGTGTATTTTACGTCCCTGTTTGGAACATTCGCATAAATTAACTTTTCTTCGGTTTTTCGTGTTTTTTACTTTGTGTGTTTTGTATTGCGTATATTTCAGTAATATCCTGTTTTCGATGGTCTTATTTTTCGTGTTTTCAGTCATCAAAAGGGATTTCTCCTTGAAATTGGAGAATTACGTGCTCAGTGCAGACTAAACAGTAATTTTTTTTGTATCACAAATATTGAAATATTGATAAATGCATTACGTGCGATGCGTTCGTAATTTCTGTGGAGACATGTGCAAATGTCAAACGTTTATTTCCATCTTCAGATGGTCTTGAAGGGCATTTTGTTATCCAGCGGAGCGTGAGTGAAAAATAACGCACATAACTGCAGGAAAATGCTACGATAATAAGGCAATAAAGTGGCATTTCTTGACGGAAATTTATTATCTTTATTGTTCCAAACAGAAAACGCTTTCGCATTATATATTTTTTGTTTCTAAACTCGCCGGCGGAAAAAAATAAATTAAAATTTGCGTCGTATTTCGTCTTAACTTTAACTTTATTTAGCTCATTAGGACTTTTTTCTTCAGCTTCACGCTTCAACTCCATTCGAGGTGCGAAAAAAAACTTTCTTAAGTTTCACGTCGCAATTAAATTTGAAAATAAGATGAATAGCTTCACGTCCTTTTAATGCGCTGAAAGTTTTTTGCATTTTTGTTTCGTCTGGGAAATAAAAATTTCAAAAGTACGTTTATTCTGATTAAAAACTAGAGCGCATTGTGAAATTCGATTGTCATTGTCACATGCAATGTGGAACTGTTGCACGTCATGACGCGACTATTACCTAGGGTTTGCCCCTCGCGTTATATTTACATAATACTCGAATCGCGTGCACGTGCACAAATTAATTCTCGACGAGACGATTTTTCATTCGTTTGTATTTTGTCACGTGTTGTTGCAGATAATACTTTTTTTCATTCCAAGATAATATTCAGTGTGAATTACAATCACGTTTGATTGTGATTTGGTTTAAGTAACATGTCAATTTCTAATTGACATTAAAACAACGTTTTACTGCCTAGGTATTAAAGAAAAACACAAAAACTCAATATTTGGGTAAAATTTTGTTTGTTCCATACTATAACATTAATTTTATTAATAATAAAGTTTAACTTTAATGCCTATGTAATAAAATACCACTTTACGCAGATTTTTTCCCAACTTGTTGCTTAAATTGCTTTTCTTTCTGGTTTTCGGCCAAGTTAAGTGAGGGTATAACTTGCCTCGTGAAACAGTTCTGTTACTTTGTGCCCCAATATCGATTTATCTCGTACACTTGTACGACTTGCGGCTTTTGTCCTGGGAGCTTTCTAAATTAGATAGTTGAGTCACTGCGTGCTGCGTTATCTTGTTATTTACAAGCGCGCAAACGAATACAGAGCAATAAAACAATTGTAATGGGACATAATCGACGTGTACATTAACCGTATTACAGCAAATTGACTACCACACTATGCAACTCTTATCATTCTCATTACAACAACATAATACTATAATATTCCGATTATGCATCAGCATTCAACACCTTTTTGATTATTACGCGTGATTCTATTTCCGAACACTCACATAAAAGTTTATTTGTCCGTCTCGAGGTCGGCATGCAATCACAGCTCGAATAATGCTTTGGTTGAGGTTGAAGGTCCCCTCCATTAGACACTTCAGATCAAACCATCGCATTTTAAACGTTCTGAATCCACTGCTATTATCCGACATTAATCGGTTTCGTCTCATCGCCTTCAACATTCGCGAGCCACAGGGAGCACGTAATGTTTATTCGGTAGATTAAGTGTCTGCGACGCATTGAATTTCATTACACGCACAAGACGTTTTATTTGACTTGACTGACTCTCTCATTAATTCTAACACTCTGCCCAATGTAATTTTGCAACACACCGAAAAATTATTTACTTGTTTTGTAGGAGAAAAAAAAAGTAATTATCTCCCAAATGCATTAGACATAATTATCAGCCGATGAGACAACATAATCATCCACAAATAAGTTAATTATGCCATCAATTGTTTGTCGGACGCGGATGGTAATCAAAGTGGTTATTATGACTTTCAAAAACGCCGACTGCGATGGTGGCGGCGCCGGGCGATATAATCGCGCTAATACCTGCGCAAATTACTACGCTCGTGCCACTCGTCTGATTCCCACCGGGCTACTAATTTAGTCGCCCACGGTATTCGGGTCTTTCCCTTTCGTTGGTTATTTACGTCCTCGAAGCCCGAAAGAACGAGGAAATGAAGCAACAGCTCGTGACCACTTAAAATAATTGCCCTGCTGCACTGCACAGATGTTGCTTTAGATAATAGCTTAATGAAAACCTATTTTACACCTATCTACTATTATTTACTTACTTACCGAGTGCAGTTTTAGTGCGTACATTCCGCGAATATCCCATCGGATGTAAAATGGCCCAGTATCTGTCGACGGAGACCGCAACAAGACAGAAGATTGATATTGTGCATAATACCACCAGGAGTGAGACGGTGAAGAGACACGCGTAGAGATTTGTCGGTAGACCAACTGATGACATGATGGCAAAGGGTATACCTAATAACCCTACTAAGAAGTCAGCAGCTGCCAATGATACAATGTAGTAATTCGTCCGGCGTCTTAAACGTCGCTCTTTGCGGAAAACTAGTATTACTAGTGCATTCCCAACGACTGCTAGTGAAGCGACTAGAATCTCTGATATGGCGTAGAAGAGATTCAGTTCTTCTTTTTGGTAATCATGGCTGTCGTCGAAGGCGTCCTCGACCAGTGTGTAATTTGTAGTGTAGGCTTCAGTTGTCGTCATTATTCAATTGATATTTGACGGTGAAGATCTTTGTGGAATTAATTTGATCGTAGATTGCTGCTAATTTGCTCGATCGCTTATTAGATCAGTGGATTACTTTTTTCTCGAGCGCATTTTTGTCATCCGTTGGCCTTTGTACTTTTTTTCGTCGAAGTTTTTCAACGGTGCCAACATTTACTAAGACTTGGTGGGAGGGTGGCACGGACTGCGTATCTGAAAGCAGACGCAGAAGATGATAAATTGCTGGAGGGCTATCAGTTTCATGCAATTGATATTGATTTTTAAAATGCAATATGTTGTAAAATGACCAAAACAAAGAAGTTCTTTTTATCTTATAGCAGCTGTCATATTAGATTTTACTGATATTAAATAATAAAGATAGCATAAACAATTACCAGCTGTCAAATAAAAAATGTCAAACAACATAACCAAAGATTTTTACTCTTTATTCTTTTATATTCATGAAATTTTTAATGTTTTAGTAGTGATTCTACTTCTCGAGACAGAAACAATTCAAACTAATAAAAAATAATAAAAATCAAAACCGCTTCTGAGTTATAAATAGCATAAACACGCTGGTGACTTTATTTTATATATATATTCAATGTCAAAAGTTGAGGAAGCCGGCAACCAACAATACAAAGTAATTTAAAGCTGTTCCAAAGCTATTGGAAGCTGAAATTAATCCCTTTTTATTACCCGTAATTTATGACATCAATCACGTACCGGATTTTTGTGACACTTGGGTCACCATCACAACCCCGCAAATACTCTACGCCCTATACACTTGATGAGAAAGTGAGAGGAAAGCAAATAAAAGAGCAACGCGGGCGGAAAGCAGGTCGCGTACAACTCTTTTTGTTTCATTTTGTTGGCGTTCCTTCATCCACATTTTCTAGTTTTTTTTTTTTTGCGAAACTCAGCCGCCCAAACGAGCAATAATACGGCGTCAGATGGTCACACGCCGTGGACAGTGTTTATTTAATAAATTTTAATTGAAAACAAACACGAAACGCAGCCAGCGACAGCGCAAAAATGAAACTGAACGTTGTTCCAAAATGTTTCAAAATGAAATAAAACTGGATTAGTGTTCATTGTGATTTTGAAATCACAAATGATGATGATGCAGAGTTAAATAATCAGTAGTATAGTTTTATAATTCTATAAAATAAATTAAAACTACTTTATTAAGCTTTAGTGAAAAGTTGTGATTTAATAGAAGAGGGTTAAAAATAAATCACAGCTTTAAGGTGCTTTATTCTCTTTGTGTTGGCAACTGCCAAGTTTATAGTTTATCGCTTTCCGGAGCAAGAGTTTTATTTTTCATTCTTAGAATTTAATCGCAATTTAATTTAATGACTGTTCAATTTTTTCGAAGTACAATGGAATTTAATTAAGTTTTTTACGCCTCTTTCCAGTAAAATAAGTTATTTTTAAATCGCATACATTATATTTGCTTTTTTTGCAGGAAAATTACTTTTAAATAACTTTTAACTTAAAGTAATCACTTTTTAATATAAAAACTTCTTCGATGTTAAATTTCTTTTTACATTCTCGTTTTACGGTGGTTAGAGCTTCAAATCTTAATTTTGCTTGTAGGCCGTTTTCTTTGTTGACGCAGATATATCTAAATAACATAAAAACGTATTTGTATAGTACGTTTTGTTGGTTGGCATGCCAACGGCGTGTTCAAGTCAACTCTTGAGTTGAGTGGAGGCGGTGACGGCGGCGGATTGTGCCCGTACACCGACGTGTTTGGTTAAACTCTTTAGGGATTTCTTTTTGTACATAAAGGTGATTCTTTACAGCTACGGTCACAAAATATATTGCGTTTTATATTTCATTATGCGTTTTTGCTCAAGTTGTAACATTTTTTATTATTTTTCAGTCAAAAATGTAATAAAACCAAAATAAACATTAATATTCCATTAAAATTCAGTATTATTATTTTTATTTAATAAATTTAGGAAATGTGGCAATCTAAACGGATTTTAAAAACTTTAAATTTTTTGTTTTTCATGTTTCTTAATGAAACAACTTAACCCACTAAACACTGTGTTTAAAAAAATAATCCATATTAGTTAAAATTCTTGTTTGTAATGTGTTTTCTTGACATTGAATGATCCTACACGTACCTTAACGAAATAATCACTAGTTCCAACATGCTCCGACCGTTTGCAATACTCAAACACAAAAAAACACAAAACAACGTGAATGAATAACTTGAAATTAAACTTAAAATCAGCGCAATTACAATTCGCACTCGTCAATTCTTTTGTTTCACAAATTGCATGTCTGCTCTCCCAGTAGTCTTCCATCCCTGTCCTCAGTTGATTATACGTATGGTAATCCAATGCGTTCGACAATTCCGAGAATATTGATGCAAATATATTATATTCGCTCACACACAACGCAAGTGACTTGTACACCGAGTGTGGACAATTTGGTGACATGGTTACGGCGAAGCTTCAACGGCACGATGTCACGTTTGATAAGTGTAGGTACAACTGGTACAACTATAGGACATTCGTTCGGTAATTATAGGTTTCTGCGTAATTAGCTCTATGCGACAACTTGCGTTCGGCCTATTATTTTCGCAAACGTAAAGAATTGCGGATTGATTGCAATTACGCGTGTATTCAGACTCAATTCGATACGCATTTTAACAAGTGTAGAAAGATACGGGATTGTATGACATCAGTTTTATTAAATCTAAAATTGAATTTTTGTTTGGTTGTAAAGTTGGAAAATTAGTGGCTAACAAGCAATAGATGGCGCTGTTGTAAAATCCAGAAATTATAAGTTTTTGGCCTCATTATTTTGATGCAGCATAACAAATGTAAAAAAAAAGCCTAAAATTGTTTAAAGAAAATGTACGATCGACAAGTTTGCCTTACATATTTTGCTGATAAAACAAACCGTTTGACTGAAAAATGCTAAAAAAGCATTTTCGTACTTTTGACTTCGACTCAATTATTTTTGTCGATATCGAACCAATTTAAACATTCAAACTTTTATGCAAGATGATGTTTCTTATCTCTCCACAAATTAAAATTAAATTTTTGTTGTGCCATACTTCTTTTTAATTAAAACAGAAACTCTTAAAATATTTACCAATCGATTTACTCCCCTCTATCAAAATCAAACCTCCTAAATTTCTAAATGTTTGTATAGTGATTGAACGTTAGGTGTTAATTGAGTTTTCAGCAACTTTGTTAATTAATTCCTTTGCGATCACCTCGCCACGCGCGTAAATTAACAATATAGCTTAATAATCTCCATACCAATTTGAATATTCATATGCATACGTCTACATAACTTAACTAAGTGTAGTTTTTCACAATTTAGAAAAAATCCACTTTATTCGTATCTAACATACCAAACTAGTTTTAGTCTCTACATTAATGAATGTATTTATGAACATTTCATGACGGAATGTTCGTAAATATAATATTATGTGACATTTTAACCATAACAAACAATATGAATATATATAAGAGATGTAATTATCCACGAACAACGCGAAGGCAATCAACTTGAATAATAATTATTATTATAACTATAATAAATTGAGGAGATGCTCAAAAATTCACTTCCGCTCTGATGTAATCATAATATTGACCGTAGCATTTATCAACAGGATGATTTACAGCACCTGTTTATTTATCTTGTTGATTTACGAACTCGACGATTATTATTCATATTGATATCCAATAAATTTTGCGGTTTTTAATCATCGAAGTGCTTATAACAATATTTACGCAGTGAACATTTTAAAAACACAAATAATTTTATAAAAATTGTTCGTTATAACACAATTTAAGTTATTAAAACATAAATAAAGCCGTAAATATTATACAGTGGCCTTAATAACATCAGTTTTATTGTGATTTTCGTATTTTCCGGCTTTGTCGCGTTTCCTCCTTGTCGTTTATTATTAACTCGTTTTATTGCGAGTCCCAAAGCACCACATAAGTGCTCGTTAACGTTGATATGGAATTAATTATTTACTCCCCGCACAATTAGAGAATCTCCAATACAAGACATTTTTCGAATTATATAATCTTACACGTTGTATAAATACAATAAAATTCAGTTGCGTCATGTGTACAACACTGATGTTTTAAATAAGTAAGTGGAAGGTTATCGGAAAGAAATTATTACAATGTTATCTACGTGAATATATAGGTCACTATTGATATATGTAGTAATAAGTGCTACTGATATTAATATTGATGCAGTTATGTTTGGATTAACTTATAACTCACCTGTTGAACAGTTGCAGTTGTCTTCTGTTTTGTAGTTTCTCGCTTCTCAGCGCCGAGTCTAATTAATTATTAACTTCCGTGTGTCCGTTTCTGACGCACCGTGAACGACCACACGCGGTTCTGCGGTTTCGTGCGCTGAATTTCAAGTCGTACTTCACGCGTTGAAGTACTTTGGGTGCTTGCGCTGCTTGTGGACCAGTGGCAATTGTCTCACGTTGTTGAACACTTTGTGAATCAAATCAATCAGGCGTGAAACAACGTCTCGTAATCGCACATAATTCCCCCAAGCGTCAACAAAATATAACAAGTGCCATAAGTGTAACAAAGTAATAAGTAATAAGCGAGTTTTATGTAGATGTATTGTTCATGCCGTGTTCGGTTTTGGCGCGGTGTAATAAATTGCGGCACTTATCGCGCGCGAACATCCGCTGGTGAATTATTTTTTCAACACTATGCGCTTCCACACATAAAACGCTGTTTTCTTGGTGGAAGTTGGTGAGTTGGTGTGGAAGTGGTCGGCTGCGTCGTCGGCGGGCGATGCGTGGTGACTGCAAGTTGTTGGAATTGTTGGAGACGACGCAAGTATGGCTTGTGTGGTGGCGGTGGCGGCGGCGGTGGCGGTTTGGACGAGTCACTGCGCGTGGTGCCGTGCTTGAGTCTCATTACGCCCTCGACCACCCACATATTAAATAAACAATGTATAATTATGCTGTTTTATTAATATTTTTGACTTTAAAAGTGTATATTATTCAAATATTTCAAATGGCGCAGTTTTGCTTCAAATTCATTGCTAATATCTACAAACATTAAGAAATAACATGTAATTGTGATCGTAAACGTACTAAAATAATTATTAATTACTTATTCATAAATTAATATATAAATATTACCGATTTATTTATTGATTGTAAATAGAGTTAAGAAAACGCGATGTCAACTTTTAAAAATATTGTTCTACTCTAGGCAACCAAAACCACAGCTTTTGGACAACCAATGAAACGTCAGCATTCACAGGGCAGCCATTTGTAAAGAATCGTTAGCGAAGCGGTGCGCGTGAGGGTAACATTGATGCGTCTGTGAATAAAGAGCGTCTTCCTCAAAAAGTACGAATAATTACAGTCAAATAGGCGCTCACCACCATGGCTGAGTACCTAGCGGCTATTTTTGGCACAGAGAAAGACAAGTAAGTGCCAACTTTCATATAAACAAAATAATGCCAGATACCTTCTGCGATAACCTCAAAATAAACTAAACAATATCTTAGATTTACTTGTTTTAATCGTTTCATTGATACATATAGGTGTGAGAGATTTATGCAATATTATATTTTCAGAGTAAATTGTTCGTTCTACTTTAAAATCGGAGCTTGTCGGCATGGTGATCGCTGCTCGCGTATTCACAACAAACCAACCTTTTCACAAACATGCTTGCTGCAAAATCTATATGTGAATCCACAGAATTCTGCAAAATCTGCTGATGGAAGTCATTGTAAGTACTTAAACTTAATAAGAATGTATTTATACATGTTAATTTTTACGTTTTTTAAGTGGTTGCAAATGTCTCTGATGAAGAAATGCAAGAGCATTATGACAACTTTTTTGAAGATGTTTTTGTTGAATGTGAAGACAAATACGGTGAAATTGAAGAAATGAATGTCTGCGACAACTTGGGCGATCACTTAGTCGGTAATGTGTATATCAAGTTTCGCCGTGAGGAAGACGCCGAGCGCGCTGTGACTGATCTTAACAATCGCTGGTTTGGTGGACGCCCAGTGTATGCCGAACTGAGTCCCGTGACGGATTTCAGGGAAGCGTGCTGCAGGCAATATGAAATGGGCGAGTGCACACGGTCGGGTTTCTGTAACTTCATGCACTTGAAGCCAATTTCGCGAGAATTACGGCGTTATTTGTACTCTAGAAGAAAAGCCGGACGTGGTGGTGGTGGAGGAGGAGGTGGAGGCGGCGGCGGTGGTGGTGGCGGAGGAGGCGGTGGAAGACGCTCAAGGTCCAGGTCTCCGAAGAGGGCGCGCTCACGATCACGAGAACCCAAACGGTCCAGATCACCAAGACATCGCGCTGGACGTAGTGGTAGATATTAACAAACGCATACAACTAAAGGCAAACATTTTCCATACAGCAGCGTACGTCTAAGAAGTGAATGAACATTTGTAATGTTACTTATTTTAGGTTAATTTTGTAATGTGTATCTATATGTTATAGTTTTCGACTTCAATACTTGGATTTTAACTTGAATTATTGATACATTGTGCTTATTTACCACTTTTCAGTCATAAATGATAATTTCTTGTGCGGAAATAGATTATGGATAAGAACATTGCTTAATATTATGTATTGCGTGTATCACCTTAGACTTCCCGATTGTATTATGTTTTAACTACACACTCTGTTTGCTTTAATTTCATGTAATTGCGTAATGCGAGTCTGCCTGCAGCGCTTAAACAAATCACGTTCGGAGATGAAGCGATGCGCGTCGAGTCATAACACTCGTATGAGTTGAGTTGAGTTCGAGTTTGCTTTTGTGACTATAAACAACTTAGTTATGCCGTGCGACTGACAAACGGTAGCAACGCAAGCGTGAACCACAAAATCAGAACTCATAATATTTTCAACTTTAAGTTAAGCAAATACATGCGAGTGACAATAACATTATTAGTATTCCCAGTAATGAGCATAATTTCATTGAGTAGAATCTAATTTTGTGTGTTGTATTAGTGTGGCAATAATCGCGGTCATAATGTGGAACGTTAACACAAGGTGAAGGTGATTGTGCGGTGTTGTTATTCTAATTAGTGTGACTGTTCAACGCGGAGGCTGCGTCTGAGTTTGAATATCACAATTTCAACGTAAGTGTAAATTATAAGAATAAACAAATAGCTGGATTTGGAAATTTTTAAGGGTAATAGTTTAAAGAATCCGGAATGACGTGGTTTAGAGAAGTTTTATGTGGAAAATACACTTGTATATCAAATAATGAAGCTATTATTATTGTTTAAGTGACGTTAGTGTTGAGTTTTGAGCTCCGATTGGTTTCCAATATATTTGGACAGTTTTCTTGATAATGCAGTTTGTTTTTCTTACAATAATTGCAAACAATGAATCCAGTAAAACACAAAATGTGTATTTTGAGTTGCATAACTAAAGGTTTAATAAATATAATTTTAGTAATTTTCAGTTACTCATCATGCCTATAGTATAGAGCAAGAGCCAGTGACGGCCAGACTTTCGTCATTTTAGGAAAGATGAAATTTTGTCTATGTGTGTCTCCAATACAGGTAAGAACGATTCCCAATTATGAAACCTGCATCGTGGTTCCTTTGACAGTTAACAGCCAACAAAGATGTACTCGTACAAATGATGACCTCAAATTCGTTATTATAGCAAACTCCATTTTTACATATTTTGTTCGTATCATTATTACAACATGCGCTGCTCATTGCCAGACACCTGGTATGGTTCCAACCCTAGCCAGACATCCCTAAACTATAATATTTTTAAACTTTTTTACTTTCGTTATATTAGGAAAGCTGAATGTTATAATAATGATACGAACAAAATATGCAAAAATGGAGTTTGCTAAAATAACGAAACAAAGGTCATCATTTGTACATCTTTGTTGGCTATTAACTGCCAAAGGAACCACGATCCAGGTTTCATAATTGGGGATCGTTCTTACCTGTGTTGGAGAAACACGTGGACAAAATTTCATCTTTCCTAAAATGACGAAAGTCTGGCCGTCACGGGCTCTTAGTCTACTATTGGCAATTATAATTTTATATGTAGGACAGATTTTGTGTTGCAACTGTAACTAGAATCAAACTGGTTGTAATACTCTGCTGAAAATTGTGAAAAGTAATGTCATGAGTCAAAAATTAACCGAAAATTGAAAAGTGCTAGGAAAATATTTCACTAATAAACGTAAAAAACGCTGCCAATCAGTAAATTACGCTTTGATGCTTCACTAATCACAACACTGTTTATCCATCTGCTTCTCAGAACTACCAAATACCAATACGGATGCTGCACAGTATAAATAACATTTATGCTTTCTGTTTTATTAAATTTTCGACATAACTCCACCATCCTATTAATTATTTAGATGCATAACCATTACACAACTTTACACTAATATTAACAAACATAAACCATATTTTAACCGTTGTTAATATACAATCTCTAAATCAACAATGGAAGATTTTTTTATTTGAACTTTATTCAAATATGTTCATGTATTTAAAATGTTTGAAGTTATTAATTATGTAATTTTTGCTTGTATGCTTATTATTCGGACGTTTTTACGACTTTACGATAACTCAGTAACTCAGTAGTAGAAGGTAAAGTTGTTGTACCGGCGTGCGCGACGCGGAAAACATTAAACGCGTGCGCCATAAATAATAACATCGGCGTGGGCGCGCTCTTCGAGAGGGTTTGATAACGGTTTTAGTTCGTCGAACGGTATTCGCGCGACGCGTCGACCGGGGCACCGCGAACACGCACCACGCGCGACTCGCCGCCCCAAGTTTACAAACGCACAACCACCCTCAACTGGATATATACCTGGATATACGTTTAATAAAACCCAGTGATACAAAAATTATGTAAATTTAAATGTGGTGGACCCACGAAAGCACACAATTCGGCGCTTACCTCAACACAAGTCGAATAAATTGAGTCAGTGAGTCAGTGAGCGCGTTTCGACCTTAACCCATTTATTATAATAAAGTGCGCTATCAATTTCACTTCCGCGAAATATTATTTTACCGAAAAATAAATAAAACGTATACAAATGACGGAAATTTAAAGCACATTGTTATATATATATTTATTATCTTTATAAAGATTTTATAACTTGTAATAATTAACGTGTTATTGTGTTGTTTAAATGTTTACTATTGTACGAACACGTGTTGTTTGATGAATGTGCATCTGTGATTTGTTGGTTTGTGAAACAGTTTTATCCGCGAAAGAAGTTTATAGACTTATCTGTGAGGTAAGTCGTTATTCTTGGCATAATTAAAAATACTGCAATTACGATATGGGAAAAACGTGCTGATAAAATTATTAATGAGAAATTGATTATTGCAAGGTAATTAAACATGTGCGGTAGTGATTTTTTTTTTGGTTTAGGTAATCGCAATGAGTTGTGTAATTTTGTGAATTTTTGTTCGAGTCTATTTTTATCATATCTGATATTTTTGTGCATGAATGACATTGATAACGAAGCGACTAAAATGTAATAAAGTTACGTGTACGCCGTGACCAGGCGAAAATAATGTAAATATTGTACGGATTATATATTAAATTAATAGATATTGCATACATAAATATTGTATTTTTAGAAAAATAATATTCTAAATAAAAGTGTGATGCAGTATAGTAGTAGCATTTGATAGGTTTCTAAACATGGTTGGAGGTGCTCTAAGTGGATTTATATTCTTATACAGCATTATCTAATCGAAGAATTATATATTTTGTAAAAAAAATAACAAAATAATTTTGTTGCATATTTGCACGTGCAGCACACAATTATTTTTAATTGCTTTTAGTTGTAATTCCAGCTAAATATTTGTTTTACTTACTATAGGCAATCCAGTGTACAGCTAGTAAAGAGATTTATAAAATTATATATAATTATATTATAGCTAGATTAACAATAGGTTAATTTTTATTGTGTTGTCTTCTGTTAATTCAAAATTACGATAATACATATTTTAGTTGCTACAATATTTATATTATATATATATTTGAAAATAGTATTTGGTGTGTGTGTATGTTTACATAGGCTCAACTCGTCGCGGTCTCATCAAGGGCATAATTAAGTTGTTTGGCAGATATCTAATTATACACACCCAGTGCCTTCAAAGTGTCAGAAGCGTTTTGGGTCGCGTAATTTAGCCGCCGAGTGGGCCACGCGCTCACACATCCATAGTATACGAGATTCCTGCCATTGAAACGCACCAAATTTTATAGTATATTATTTTAGCGTATCAAAATGGTTTTTATTTTATATATATAATTTAATTCACCATAAAAAATCATAATAAAACTGTAATCGAAATAATAATTAATTGCCTAGGTAATAAATAAAAATGCAAAGTTTTGAAATTATTGACTTTTTAACAAAATATTTGTGTTTTCATTAAAAACAAACTTTTAAAAATATTCCAAGTTGGATGCTGTTAAAACAAAAAAGAAGTAAATTAAGAAGAATACAAAAAACACTCTAATTTATGTAAACTCGAAACTCACAAACATCGAAAACTCGCAGAAATCTGTAATGCAAATTACTTCCCTAATAATTTGCTGATTTTGCTTGATTGCCTATTGTTAGGCATGTTATCCCGTGATTATTTCAAATTTTCCATCAAATAATTAATCACATTATTATAATGTGGTAAATATTAAGTGAATAACAAAATGGAGTTTCAATTTAAATATAGATATCACTTTTGTGATTGATTGAAATGATTGATGGATTGATGGATCGATGAAATAGTGTGAAACTTTAAGCTTCGGCACATCCCAGCGAGCACGAATCGCATGCGATCTGTATTTTATTTAATTGAAAAATATAAAAGTTTGCAGCAATATTTTTAACTTAAATTAAATTGGTAACCTATTAATAGAATATATTTTATTTTATTTCAAAAAATGCAATTTTTAACATTTCATGTTGATAATATTATTTTTTGCACTATTTGCGTAAAATATTTGAGTAGAAGGTATATTTCATTATATATCAATCAATTTTACAGTAGAGTCCGGTTATAATGACATCGAAGGGAACTGACAAACACGTCATAATAAGCGGACGTCATACAAACCGTTTTGTGAAATAAAAACCTTTTTTTACGTAAATATGTACCTAAGTACTTTAATATATAAACATAGTAATTACAAATGTATATAAATGTATACATATATATTAAATTAAAATCAAAATTGCACATAATTACACATACAAGAGTATTTTTTACTGTTTTAAATAATCTGTCATTTTTGTCTGCTTTTGTTTTTTTATTTTATTGTAAAAACAGTCTCTAATACTATTATGAATAGAGGACATAGCTATGGTCAAATTATCATTTGCAATATTGCTGTGCATAGTAACAAACACAAGAAACACAAGACACAAATAGTTAAACACAAACAATAAATTCACCTCCGGCAGCGTGACGAGTTGTGAGAAGATAAGTAGGAACTGTTCTTAGATTTCAAAGTTGTGAAAATCGGTCATGTTATATGGTCTGCTAGAACAGGATTGGTTAAGATTTAATTGAGCCGTTTATTTTGAAAGTGACCTAACTCCGTTTTT